CCTAAATAAATTGTCGCTCTGGTTGTCAGAAAGGGCATCGGTCTCGTAACTTCCGAAGGGATTCGGCTTTCATCATGAGGGGTCATAATTCTTCTAAATGAAGACCTGACTCCCAGGACAGAGTTTAAATGGTTTGAATAATTTTTTCTGGTTAGCGTTTTTTTAGCTAGTTAGTTTTCCACGGGATGTGGACGCTAACCCCATGCCCAACCCTCCTCTTTTATTCGAGCTTGGGACCGGCAGTAGCCCCCGGAGGGACTCCAGGCGGAGTTTCACATGACTAACGCGTGATGTTAAAAAAGACAGTGGTATTTTTCCTCTGAACAATTTTTATAGTATTGATCGTTAAATTACACATCAAGACCACTGTTGTTGCTCTAACTGAGTTTTCAGTTAAAGTAATTCACATGAGTACAGCTTTTTCTCTAGAGAAGTTTATCATCTGTATTTTACGAGTACAGATACATAAAACTAAAGACACTGGTTGAATATAACTTTGAGCATTGTTTGTATCCATAGGCGTTAAGATCATGCCTGTAAAAATGGCATGTACCTGCCTTTGCAGAAGTATATTATATCATTATATTAAGATCTTTCTGTAACTATTGAAGTCGCATTTTTGTTTCTTTATTTTATTTGTATAGAATGATAAAACAGATCTATGGCGCAATCGAAACATCGTCATGGTAGACCAGCATGCTGTTCACCGGTCGATGAGAGGATGCGATATGATAACTGCAATAAGTGGTATCACAATGTGTGCACCGAACTCACCTCAGTTGCATATAAAAGATGCTGCAAGTCATTATCACGTTCGTCGTGTGAAGAATGTTGTTCTACGATGTCTCTACTGATTCTAGAGACGATCAAGCTGATAAGCATAGCTGGGAAATTGCCCTCAGGTAAACGGGCAGCAGCAGATGATCGGAATTGTGCTCTCGAGGAAATTGAGGGTTTTATTATGAGCCCAGCTCTAGACTTAAATGAGACCATAAAGGTGGACCTCATCGGGGAAACGGATAGGCACATGGATGGAGGCATTGTCACAAGGAGAAAGAAGAAGCGTAAGAAGAAGAAACTACCTGTAGACAGTATTGAGGCATGTGAATCTGCGGGTCCAGTCCTGAATACGCATATCAATGTAATGCAAACTATAGGGGAGCCAAGTTCGAGCAATGCAGAGGAAGGTATCAAGAGACAAAATAAGGTAAATGAGTGACCCACAGTCACATCTAGGGTAAGAAAAATAAGAAAACAGAACGTAGCCTCCGTGTTTGACGCTGAATTGAGATCGGAGTGCAAAGAAGAGACGGTTTCAGGAACTAAAATTGCACAGCATGTCAAGACAGACATCTCTGAAATTCCTCAGAAAAGCCGCCTCTTGAAGGTTACATTTGCCACAGTTGAAGAAAGGAACCTGATTCTAGGTAACTCACGTAAACTGACTGGATCTGGAATATACGTCCGTGAAAATCTCAGCCTAGTTGATCGGATTAAGTTCTCCACAGACTTCAAGGTATGTCACACAAATGCTCACAGCCTATTTAATAAAATGGCGGAGCTCAAGTCAGTGGTGGATAAAGAAAAACGGACGTTATTGCTGTTTCGGAAACTTGGTTAACGTCAGAAATATTAGATAGTGAAATGCAGTTGACTGGTTTTTTAACCATTTGGGCTGATAGGTTAAACTGTAGGAGAGGCGGGGTTATCCTGTACACGAAAATTACCCTAACCATAAGAGTAGCTGAGACAGTGGCATATGTTTCAGGGACATGTGAACTGGTGAGATGTGAGCTGAAATACAGACGGCAAGATATTGAACTAGTTGCAGTATATCGCAGTCCAGAATGTGTGGCAGACGATTTTCTCCTAAGTAAACTTAAGTCCTGGAGTAACAAGGGTAAAAGCCTTGTAGTAGGCGACTTTAATGCACCGTATATAAGCCGGGTTAACTTGGAAGTAGGGTCATCGATATCGTCGTTCGAATGCAAACTGTTGGAAACATCGATTGGATTAGCTTTATTCCAACATAATAAACATGTTAGAAACCCCACAAGATATGGCTTAAGAAACTCTTCTTCTCTATTAGATTTAATTTTCACACACGGAGATGACGTTGGTCAAGTGACTTTCCTACCATCATTAGGAAGAAATGACCATGCAGTCATCTTATTTAAATTCATGGCTGAGATTGCCTGTCAAACAGTTGCCCCGGCCCGTCCTAATATATGGAAGGCAGATATGGAAGCAATCAACTCCACAGCATCGGCTGAAAACTGGTAAATTGACTCAACGGCATCAGTGCAAGAGGCATGGACTCATTTCAGGCAGTTGTACAATCGGGTAATTCAACCACATATACCCTGGACAGTTCCAAAGAAGAAGAAGCACGGACATCCCTGGACAGGCCGGGATATTCTACGTTTACTAAGACAAAAGAAGAAATGTTGGACTGTACGATGGAACGCTACAGATCGATAAGAAACAAGTGTATAACTAAAATTCGGGGAGCTCAAAGAAAATATGAAATGCAATAGGCATAATCTACACTCAAGCAGCCTACGAGAATATTCTCGTACATAAACTACAGAACAAGGATCCATCATTGGATTCCCAACCTAATTAAAGAAGGGAGTGAATCTGAAATGATAGAGGAAGATCAGGAAAGAGCAGAGGTTATGGCTGACTATTTTGGGGTAGTTTTTACTCAGGAACCTCCGCTAGACAAAGAACCAAACCAAGATAAACAGTCAACAAACCACCTGCTCACCGTGGACTTCAATCAAGACGATGTGCTTAAGGCGCCTAGCACCTTAAACATGGAAACGTCAACAGGACCAGATGAACTACACCCCAAAATCTTGAGAAATATTGCTCAATATATCGCAGCCCCATTGACTGTGTGTTCAATATGTCACCTTACCAAGGTGTGTTACTTGTGGACTGGACACAATCGTCACTCCTATAAATAAAACAGGACAAAGACACCTTCCGTTGAACTACAGACCTGTAAGCCTCACCAGTGTTGTAGTTAAAATATTGGAAAGAATAGTTAGAAAGATCACAATGACATCTGTGCATACCAACAACTTGTTAAACAGTGAATAAAATGGTTCCAGAAAGAGTCTTTCTTGCGCAACAAACCTCCTTATAGCAGGGGAGCATTAGATAAAAGGGCTAGGCAGCGGAAACTTAGTATATGTTGTCAACATAGACTTCAGTAAGGCATTTGATTAGATACCAACAAATAGACTACTATTGAGGTTGGGAAATCTAGGTATTGCCGGACTCCTCTTAAAATGGCTTACTGATTTCTTAGTACGTCGTAGACAGAAAGTAAGAATAAATTCTAAGTGCTCCATCTGGAGACCAGTACTTAGTGGAGTCTCTCAAGGTTCCGTCCTGGGTCCTTAACATTTTATACTGTATGCAAATGATCTCCCAAATATAGTACAGTCCCCAATGTTATTATACGCTGACGACGTAAAAATTTGGCGAGTAACAACTGGAGACGCAGATGCATGCGCACTTCAGACAGACTAAAATATTGTGATTGACTGTACTAAGGAGTGGCTAATGATTATCAACGCGGAAAACTGTGTATATATGCACTTTGTGAATACAAAGATAAGTAGGTACAGCATAGGAGAAGTGCCTGTACCCGTGGTTCGGTCTCATAAGGATCTTGATGTGACAGTGAGCTGTGATCTTAAGGCAACGGCCTAATGCTGGGAGGTTGCAGCTGAGGGGCTTAAAACCATATTGGCTTTACGATGGACATTCACTAAGTTAGATAACATCATGCACACTATAGTATACAAAACCTTAGTGAGAACTGCTTCCAGGCTGCAAGCTCCTGTTTAAAAGTTGACTCGATTATCCTGGAACAAATAAGGAAGGCAGCTACCCACGCGATTTCAGAACATTTGGGTTTACTATGCAAAGTTTGAGAGGCCAGATCTGTTTACTCTGCTCTACCACTGATTGAGAGGTGATCTGATTTTGATGTAGGAGATCCTAAGGAATGATCTTAGTGCTTAATATGTTGTATTTTACCATTCCCACTAGATCTCTACATTTCAGAGGGTATAGTAGGTGAGTATAAAAAACCTAGAAGGAACAAAATATCCGTGGCATACAGGTGAAGATGACACAGGTATTCAGTGTTTGATAACGCTTTTACCAGCAACACCCTAATATAATTTGTACCCACCAAGAGAAATCAAAAGGCAGGGTCGAGGAGATCGGAAGAGTGTATTTGGCGATTACCAATATTTCGGAATTCTCTGATCTAATCTGGCCAGCGATTGCGGTAGATGTTGAGCACAGCGTTACCACACGTGATCTAGTGCGGATGCATGACCGAGCGCCTTCAGCTAGATGTGTCCACTAAAACATGTGGTCAGCATCCAATGTCGAAAACCTGCAGAGCTACTTATTTTGGGGATTTATTTACTGCTACAGATCACTCCCCTCCTAGTGGGGTAGTGATGATCCTAAGACGTGGCCAGCCAGAAGTTTAAACCCAACGAGTCTGTCGTTGGTAAACACTCTTCTGATAGCTTACTAGGTTTAGCAGCGTCTGGTACTACAAAAATAGTTGTCAACCACAGAAGTAATATTACCTTATGAATTCAAAACTAAATGGGTCCTGATTTGACCACTTCTGCAAAACTTCACGAATCGTCGTTGTGACGCACCAATCATCTTGCGACAGTTTGACCTTCGATTTACGAGGACACTCCAAAAAGTTCACAAGCCCAGAACAAATCGCTTGTCAGCTGACTATCGACTTTCTCATCGAATCATCAACGAGTGGAATTCATTACCTCAGCACGTGGTTGAGGCTCCATCCGTCGACTCTTTCAAAAGAAAGTTGGATCAACTGAGAGACCACCATTGCCAGGACTAACACAGGCCATCAAGCCTCCTGTCCTTTCCAAACTGAAACTGAGACTGAAAGTCCACGCAACTTCCCTCTGTGTATGATACCCCTGAAGCGTTGCCGTCGTCGGTTAGTTAGTCTTGCCAATTAATTCATGTTTTTTTGTTAGTGTTCGGTTAATTTGTAGTCCGGGTGTGAATGTCAAGATGTTAGGTTCAGGGTTTAAGAGCAAGGAAACCTACAACTAACCTTAAGTTCCCTACTCATATGAAGTCAATATATACAATAACTTTACTGTTTGGGATTAGTCCTTTCATTCTCTGCCAGATGTCATTTTGATGTACACTTGCTGTTTTCTGTATGGCTATAATCCGAGCTATGTCTGATGGTGGAAGAATTATGTCCCGATATAATCGTTGTTACAGAAACTTGGTTCACCCTAGATATAGACTGTTCTCCTTTCATTGCAGGCTATATCTGTATTAGAAGTGATAGAGTTTCAAGTCGCAAAGGGTAAGGTATAATATTACACGTTAGGGATCACTTTCGTATACAATCAACCATATCGGAGGCTCATACCAGTGGCACATGTGAGGTTGCATGTTGTAAGATTAAATCTAGAAATGGGTTAATGACTATAGGGGGAATATACCGTAGTCCGTTTTGTCTTGCTGACGGCTTTATACTAAGACACATCTGTTCTTGGAGTATGACAGAATGTTGTCTCATCATTGGGGACTCCAACGCACCGCATATCAACTGGATAGAGCTTACAGCTCCAGGTAGTGGTTTCGATAGCGACCTTTTATCTACCGTTATTCAGTGTGCGCTAGTACAATGTATCACAAAACCGACCCATTGATTTCAATCATGATCCGTCACTGCTGGACCTCGCCCTCACCCACCACTGTGAGGATGTCTTTGATAGTCAGCACCTTCCTTCACTAGTGAACAGTGATCACGTGGTACTTCACTTTGAGTTAAGGACACATGGTACACAATTCGTATCTGCTCCACCCCGTCCCAATATCTGCCGAGCCAATATTCCGGCGATCAGAAACTGCTATCTCGACTGATTGGTCGGTCGACGCGGATGGATTGATCGAAGATGAATGGAATAAGTTTAAGGCTACATTCGAGTCCGTAACGTCGCCGTTTATCCCATGGTCAGCACGTAAGATATCACATTGCCCTCCATGGATTAATAAGGAAACCCGGAAGCTGTTAAAGCGTAGGAAACATTTCTGGGACTTATTCTTGTTGACAGGTCATCAACCATTCAAGCGTGAGTACCAGAAATTCCGCAATATCTGTAAGAAAACCATAGCCAAATCCCGTACCACTTATGAACGACAGTTAGTATATGATAGCCGTACTTGTCCGAAGCGATTGTTTTCGTATGTTAAACGGCGAATGAAGCGTAGTGATGGTATTTTCCCGTTACTGTTACACGAAGATTCAGAATTACTAGCTGAATCAGATCGAGCAAAAGCTGAGATTTTTCAAACTATTTTAGCGAAGTCTTCTCTACGTTTATTGTAACAAATACATGTTCCACTCACACCGAGATACCAACCATTGAATCTGTACAGGTGACTAAGGAAACTGTCCTTCCGTTGATAACTAACCTCGAACTTGGTAAGATACCGGGCCCTGACGGGTTGCATCCACGGTTGCTGTCATCTCTTGCGGACATTATTTCAAAACCGCTCGCGACAATCTTCAACATGTCCCTTCCACTCGCTCAACTCCCTAGAGATTGGAAGGACGCTATAGTCAGTCCTATATTTAAGGACGGTCAGAGACAGATAGTATCTAACTACCGGCCTGTCAGTCTAACTAGCATAGTCGTTAAGTTACTTGAAAAGATAATTCGGGTTAGGTTGCTAAGCCACATAGATTTACACAATCTGTTAGCTCCTGAGCAACACGGATTTCGCAACAAGCGTTCATGCTTGACTAACTTGCTTATTGCGAGGGAGGATTGAACAGCAGCCCTAGATAACGGTCTGTCTGTCGATGTGAAATTCATAGATTTTAGCAAAGCATTTGACAAGGTTTCACACGTAGGTCTTATGCAGAAGCTCACGAGCTTCGGAATAATATGTACTGTACATGAGTGGATAGGAAATTTCTTATGTGACCGCAGACAGAGTGAGGGTCAATGAAACGCTATCCGATTGGAAGCCGGTCAAAAGTGGTGTACCCCAAGGCACCATCTTAGGCCCACTGCTCTTCCTTCTCTACGTTAATGAGTTACCGCTGCTACTTAGGTCGTCGACATTATTGTTTGCGGACGATGTAAAAATCTGGAGAACAATAAAAAGTGCGGCTGATCATCTGGATCTTCAAGCTGACTTAGACGATTTAGTTAGATGGGCTTGAGGTTGGGGCTTAGAAATCAATGCTAGGAAGAGTGTGCTAATGCACATCGGTCACGGTAATAGTTACCGTTACACTATTGAGGGTAAACCTCTTCCATGCGTTCAAGAGCATAAAGACTTAGGAGTAGTATTAAGTCATGATTTAAAAACAACTACGCATTGCAAAGCAGCCGCTGTCAAAGGTTTTCGTGCGTTATGGTCACTTCGCCGAGTGTTCAAATCTTTTGACGAGGAAACGTTTCGAATTTTATATCCCATATATGTAAGACCACATTTAGAGTACTGTATCCAAGCAGCTAGCCCGTGTCTGGTAAAAGATACTAACTCCCTTGAGTGTGTCCAGCGTGTGGGAACAAAATTAGTGAGGGGTCTTCCTAGACTCCCTTACGATGAGCGTTTAAAACGCCTAAATCTTTTCCCCTTGTCGTATCGTAGGACACGAAGTGACCTTATACTGGCATTTCGTATCTTTAATTATGATTTGGGTGTTAATATGTCTTATATTTTTGCTCCCCCCCAGCACTAATAATCTCCGAGGTCATAGCAAGAAGGTTCATAAACCGCGATCTCATAAACTTAAAGTGGGGTCCCGTTTTTCTCATCGAGTAGTCAATCATTGGAACGCCTTACCCGAACAAGTGGTATCAGCCCCATCAGTGAATACTTTCAAGGAGAAGCTGGACCTTCACTGGAAAGCAATGTGTCAGGATTAATACAGGTTCACCAACCTACTATCCTTATTACTGAAAACTGAATCAGTGGAGTCCGCATGTTCGCTCTATGGTATTGCCAAGCTTAACCCAAACGTACACGACACCGGTATTATACAGTGATACCATTTGATGTGACCAATCGGACAAGTTATCTCAGTATTCCTATTTCATGTATATAGCTTGCATAAATAGACCATTCAGATCCAAGTTTATACTTTAAAATGAGTATATAAAAGACCTTGGCTCTAAGTTTTTTATTACACCTCTGTGTGTATCTAGTCCCCTAAATAAGTGGATTGGACACTCAGATATCACTTCTGACAGTCGGTTCTCAACTTTAATTGGTCACTGGCATAACCTGCATGTAACAGGAAGTTTATTATTCTCAACATACCACTTCGTGTTCTTTAGGTTTTCTTGACCTAAATGGGGTAAAAGGGGATAAATTAAGTCCAAATTTATTTCTCAGTATCTCATGCACCATAATTGGTTTTCCTTTCAATTTACGTTAAGTTATTATTAAGGAGTCAAACATTTTATGATGGTCGTCGCAAAGAAATCTAGACGCCCGGAATTGCTCGAACAGCGTACTTTTCCACGAGATGAGTGACCTTTTACGAAGACTTGTAGCTTGTACATATTTCTACTTCACCAAGGTTGTGCAGACCTTGGCCAATATATTTTTACCTAACTTGGTGCAGGTCTGTCTTAAGTCAAACAGCACTAAACCCTTCAATTACAACTGAATAACAGTAAGCTCTGATCTTTAGATCATGGTCTCTTAGATCATTTTAGGGTGCAAATATGAGTAGGGGCACTTCTCCAACATGTTTGTTAGCTCTACATGTATGATAACAGTTATCTCCACTAATAGTCATTAACCACAACCTAGACCACCAGCCCAGCATGACGTTAAGGTCGCCCTGGAGTGTACATACATTTCCACTACGTGCCACTTCTGAGCACACTTTGATTCTATCAGCTTGAAGAAGCGTAGGAGATTTGATGACACTTGAAACTTGGTTGATACAAAGAATAAATAAAGATGGACTTAGTTTTTCTCCTCGGGATAACCCACTGTGTACTGGTTTCCAGGAGACCCTTATGTCAATTCTTTCTCTCTATCACCAACAAACCAAAATGTTCCCAATTTACCCGAGGTATTCAAAGATTTCTAAGCTTTTCAGCTCCAGCTTAAGCCTTCCGAGGTTAAGGGACCAAGTAACGTATATTAGTCTAACAATACCAAATTTAGGGAGAAATTAACTAACTCGAAGAAAAACGAGGGGGGGGGGTGTCCAGGGAGTTTTTCCTCAAATACCGAGTCCTTCCCCAGTAAATACACTTTTGGTGAAACCCAATACTCCACAACTTTCCCTCTAAAGACACTGCTTTTCCATTGTTTCCCTCTGAACTTTTCAGCTCTTCCTCGAAGTAACCTCATAAAAACGCCTTCCATACTTATTCAATTGTGATACAATCGAAAACTTCATAAATTTGAACGGGACTTGTCTCTAAGAAGAATAAATTAATGGCAACAACATAACATTAATATAATCAAATTAGTCTTAATTTCTAAATACTCTTTATATACGACATTGTAAGTATATCCTTAGGTTACCGTCCTAACCAAAAGGCTGACAAGATATTTTGTAATTTAGATTAGTCACACTGAAAGATGTGCACAACATTTGATAAAAGTTTCAACCCAGTATTTAGTAGTGATTGGGTAAGAACATCAAATGAGTTGTCGATTGGAATTCATGGTAGCGTTCATTACATTCTAAAAAATTCAAACAGGATATTAGAATTTATATAAGTAATGTCAATTAATAGATTATCAGTATGATGTTTCGTAGTTTACTGGGCCGATATCAATTCACAGAAATATTGCAATTTGAAAATTTATTTATTTATTTGAACACAAATGTTGGTACAAGAAGGCACCAAATATATATGCGCCACACGAAACAATTAGAATTTGAAGAGGAGAAGGAAAAAAGGTAAGGAGCGTAAAAGAAAAAAAGAAAATTAGCGAACAAATTAGTGTAAGGTAGTGCTATGATAATAATAATAATAATAATAATAATAATAATGGGGGAAACAGAAACGTACAATCAGAAGAGATCTTTCAGTTAAGGAAGAAGCAACCGTTTTTTCCGAAGAAAGTAAAAGAAGGTTACAGCAAAATCGCCACTGGCTTCTATTCTGAGCCATATCTGATAACGTCTCTAGCCACTGTGTCACACCACCCCTCGGACCAACAGAAGCCAGCCCTTTGTAGATTTCTTTCATACCCCGACACCAGGTCAAATAGGTCCTGCCTCTTAATTCCACCTCGTCGGATGGCTGCTAAAAGTTCAGCCTTTATAATGAAACAAGAAATTTATTCAAGCTGTACCTTTACTTACAAAATACATTTCGAAATAGTCTTTATAAAGTGATTAAAGCCATTTAAATCACTAAAGGTCTCTAAGTCATTCTAGAGCGAAAAATAAATAACTGATTATTTGTATATCGACCTATTTTAAACAGACGGCTTAATGATTTTTACGCCTGAGTTTTGGTCATTTGACTACATTTACGAAATCCAGTTCTCTTGTTGACGTCTTGGCATTTCGATAAAACCATTAGTCTTAACGTAAAGTGGGTGGACCGAAACCCAGCACGTCAACATTTGCCTGGTAAACGAGTTACATTTGTCTCAAAGCACTTTGTATAGTACTGCTCACAACCAGTGGATTCTGGTTAGAAGAAGTCAAAGTTGTACTACAGTAAAATATATCAGGGTTAACGCGTTTGGCACTTAGGGGAAAATTAGCATGTTGACTATGACTGACGATCATAGTTGACGTTTTTCTCGCCATAGTATTACGATACTTAGAGTGTTTGAGTGCAGAAAAGACATCACAACTTCATAATACAATATATTTACTAAGAATATCAGTTCGATAAACTTGCTAGATATCTTCATCTACTTAGCAACACTAAAATGTCCCGATGCTACTAGATATAAATAGCTATGTGAAAGTTTGCTTACATTATATATTAATTGAAACGGTTTGTATCATTTTCACTCACCTTTACATTTGAACTTAGTTATAAAAAGTTACTTGAAGTGTAAAACAAAACGGGATGTCCACACAAATATTTCGATATTTGGATAAACCTGTTCCTTTTGCACGTGATGGCTAGATTTATATAATAAGCTATTTTTCAAGCTAGATTTTCTCGATTTGGATTTATAGTACTAAATCTATGTTCCCTCGGTTATCTTAAAAAAACAGGCACTTATTTCCATAGATAGACTGTCGAAGTGACCCTCATACTGATAATAATAACTTCTTGTAAACATGGGAATCGACTGAAACTTTTCATAATCGTAGCCGGATTAACCAGAATTTCAATGGAAGCCCTTTTAAAAGTCTACCAGTCAACGTGACTACACATTTCCTCATGTTACTCTTACATTTGAAACATTTAGGTAATAATCATGTCAACAATGTGGAGATGAAATGAACATAGCAAAATGTGTTCTGTTTCTTGCAGTTTTAGAGGGTGCTAAGTATGATATAGAAATGCTATTGCACTCTATGTTTTGTTTTTTAGGTCTGAGGATACTGAATATATGAACAATTAGTTTCATAAGATGCACATTTTATCAAAGAATAAGACAATTCGAGTTTCCGTTTCAAAGTTGTTAGCGTGTAGTATATACGCATACTTATCTTTCGAGTGTAGTATCTTATCGTTCGAAATGTAAAACCAAGTAGAATTGACTGTGAATTCTTACTACTTTGAGTAGATAAACCAGAAAATAAATCAAATAGTAACTTGACCTTATTAAATGTTTTGTTAACGGAAGATACCGTCGGCTACTTAGTTTATAATATATTAGTGATCTATTAAATTAATGAAACAAATAAATTTGGTTCCAAATATTTAATTCAAAGTAAAATGAGAAATAAAGGTTATTACAGTAATAAACGTCATCTCAACTAACGGTTAACAAAAATAGCTCTCCCTGCTAATCACATATTTCACTTATTGTTGGTGGTGTTTTTTAAGACTGGTTTATGCATTATTTGTTAGAAGAAATCGCCATACTACGTAATTACTTTGTTTTAATTCTTTATTACAGTATCTAAATGTTAATTTTCTTCCCACATGTTTTCAGGGTCTTTCACGATTTATATTGGTTACAATGATATCTTGTTAGTTCAGTTATTCTGCTCATCTGTTCCGTCAAAATACGTGTTATTGTCTCTGTGGACGGATTCTATAATGTATAGAAAGGCTGGGATTGCATCAATTAAAAGCAAATCGCTTGCTCAGTCGAAGTACAAAGAAAAAAGTGATGAGTTAGCAGGAAATCAGATAACAACACTATCACGACAGTTTGAACAAGTTCGTCAGTCGCTTGAATTATTTGCGAGCAAACACGGGAACAAGATTAAAGAGGATCCACAGTTACGTTCACAATTTCAAGCAATGTGTAGTAGTATTGGTGTTGACCCTATAGCATACAGTCGTGGGTGTTGGTCAGAAGCATTAGGTTTGGGGGAATTTTACTACCATCTAGGTGTGAAAATTATTGAAGTGAGTTAATAAATCACTAAAGTTTTCACCTAATTACCGACCTTACAATTAATAATAACCAAATATTTTTTACTACCTGATATCCAATTTTGTTTTATTTCTGATATGACAATATCGAGATTACATTTTCTTAATAAAATAGTGTCTTCATTATTACCATAGTTCAAAGGAAAATCGAGCCTTTAAGATCTCACCAAGGACTGATGAATTTGTTCCAATAAATTGGATGTAGTTATCCATAAAATGGTTTCTCTGTCTTCTAGTACTATAGGTTAATGCCACTATTCATATGAGTCACCGGTTCGCCTGAGCTCCAAGCATTTAGCAATTCATCATCATTCTTATGGTTTCTCAGATTCAAAATTTTATCGTTTTCGATGTCTCACGTACATCCACAATAGATCTTCACGTCCATAGATGTGAATGATGCATTATATAGTTAACAGTTTGTACTTGTTGCTACAAAGATGAAGAGTTTATTTTCTATTTTTTATTTGAACACAAACATTGGTACAAAGGGGCACCAAAATATATATGCCCCACACAATAAAGACCGGCTTATGAAAAGACAATGAAAGAAAAGCAAGTATAATAAAAAAGAACAATGGATAGAAATTAGTTTATGAGAGTGAAATAATAATATTAATAATAACGGACGAAGCAGTTCAGTTCAGAAAAATACGAGCTAAAAGGATTCTTTCAGTTAAAGAAGTTCATTTCACTTATATGAAGAAAGTGAAGAAGGTTACAGCAAAACCACACTGGTTTCTGTCCTGAGCCATTGCCAATAACGTATCAAGCCACTGTATTGCACCATCTCTGTGACCTCAACCAAGGAGATCGAACACACTTTCTGTAGAAGAACACTTAACCGGTGGTAGAACTCATCCTTCATCGCATCGGGGGCTGCAATCTGTTTAGGATTGAACGATGACGAAAAAACATCGTTCCTCACACCGATTTTTCACTTTGATGGGATCTTTCAATCTGACTGCACATAATCAACTGGTCATGGGGATTCAATTAATTAGTGCTGCCTCGGCTCTAGCGCAACAGGGTCCACGAATAAACGCACGTGAAACAAGTTTTTTGAAGCGACAGATAGAGAGCGAATTTGTAGTACTTTACTAGGGTCCTGAATATGGGTCTCGGGTAGACAACAGACATCGATGCTGAGAATTTCTAAAGACAGCCAACTCTATTTGTTGTCCGATCTGCTTTAGTATGCGAAAGGTGAATGAGGCTAGTTTGAATGACATACGTGGTTTCAGAAAGACTGGTTGAGAATTCGTGTTTAGTGGTATCATTCAACTTTCAACCAATCATTGAATTAAGATCGTTTAGATAGGATAGGATCGCCACCATTTACTATCTGCTGTATGAGTTGAAGAATAGAGATGCACAAAATTGGAATAAAATATATGGACAAGCGACGTAATGCGAAATAAAAATGAGTAATAATAGTTTTGAGTGTGACTTGCGAGAACGAGAATTATAACGTGAACAGCTTTTCTACCTGTGGTTATCATTCAGTTTGTTTGCAGGCTGTGATACTGCCTGGGTGCCAAAACTGAAGCAGGTGGTTTTCTTAGAGAGCCACTTTCCGACCATTTTACTTAGAGGTCTAATCCACAAAGCACTGGAGCAACGTTAAGTAATACACTAGATTCATATGCGATGTGTTCCCTCAGGATCCTGGAGCCCGTATGCACCGTTAGTTCGGAATCAGGGTTCTGCAATTTATGTTGTAGGCTGTGTTGTGCCGTCTTGTATTATTCTGTATGTACGGGGAAGTCTTCGAAAAATATTTATTAGTTTATGACTCGGTTGGGCACTCGGGCAGTATTTCAGCCCTCACACAAATCAAGTGATTTGTGTGGCGCATACGTATTTGGTGCCTCCTTGTATCAATGTGTACGTGTTCAAATAAATAATTTGGTTGTGTAATGTTAATATTTTTTCGTCAATATCTGTAGCTATTCATCACGGTGCAGACTATCATGTAGTCTTCATTATACTTTACTTTGTACAAAATCTTTTACATGTTGTTTTATGTTTATATAGTTCTTAAGCTCAATTTCCTTTACAATTTTATCCACAGGTATGCATGGCTAACCAAAAACACACTGGAGGCATTATACCTCTCCATGAATTGGTATCTCTATTAAACAAAAACAGAACACGATATGAGTCTGAAGTTAGTGCTGATGACGTAAAAAGGTCTATCAGAAAACTGCGTTGTCTAGGAACAGGGTTCAGTCTCATTAGTCTATCTGGTGGTCGGTTATTGGTCCAGTCGGTTCCAGGTGAAATGAATATGGATCAAACTTTGGTGTTGGGGCTCGCAGAAAGTTCTGATAGTCATGTAACAGCATCAGCCGTAATAGATAAGTTAGTGTGTGATTTGTGAATAGAAACATTTTATTTCAGCTTCCATTTTCAGTAATTTATGTCTGTACTTTTTATTTGGATACAAACGACCTATTCAATCCGGGAAAATTGTTCAGTTAGGTTCAACTAAAAAATGAATTTTGAAATATTTTTAGTGACAGACCTAACGATTGATACATAAGTTTATATAGTTGATCATAATTCTGGATCTACTTTGGGCTTCATTGTTCACTAGGGATTTTGTTTACTTTTAGTCATAAGCTGTACTTTATTTCAGCAGTTTGCAGAAATTTGTCCATTTGTCTTTCAGTCACTTTAATCAAGAACTGATATCAACTAGAAAACCATTGAAATCCGGAAATACTAATTGCGATATCAAACTCCATAAATTTCAGGTCTCAGAACGGGCACAAGATACCTTTAAATAATTAAATGGGAATTCAATAGTACATATTTTTAAATTGAGTTTATTTAAGATATAACGGAATCATTGTCCAATAGGTAAAGATTTTTCAGGAAATTATTTCTGACTGGACACACAAAATGAATTCCCACTGAGGCTAGGAAATTATTTTTTAAGATAAGTCAATTTTTACGTCATTAGTTTCAAATTAGTTATACGAAACATCCACATAATAATTAGCAAGTTATATAAGTCAGCAAATCGACGTACAGACAGTCATCAAAATAGTCATCTAGCTGCAGACTGAAAACATTGCGATCCAACCTGACAAATCTCTGACAAAAAATCAGTGTCACCTTTTTACAAAAATGATATGTTATGCGTCGAATTACAGGGTACCCACATTTCAAATTTTGGAAGATTTGTCCACTTTTTATTTCTATCTACCTGTTTTTAACTTGTTTCGTCGTTTCAGCGTATCTAGTTACTAATTTTTCGTTCCGGTAATTTCTATTAATGGTTTATCACGTCCATTTTGATGTGTTTTATTCATTTGATAACACTCGTTCCTCTCATTACATTATATTTATATAATATCACGGGAAAACCTCTTAGTATCTTCAAAAGAAATATCTATGAAGTTAAACATCAGCATGTAACGTAAACAATTAGCTTACTTTGAATGGGAGTAAAACTTTTGAAGCGATCATGCTACCTGTTCACTTTTCACCCGGTAGATCAGTTATGTTATCACTTCGTAAACCTAATAAGTGTCTTTAATTAAATGATATAAAAACAATGTATACGTGGCTACAAAGCAATTGGTATTGTTTTACTAAAATGCATTTGAAATGAATTTTCAATAAATTACAACTGTAATTTATGTTCAAAAATGGATAATGGCCAGCAGTGGAATCCAAGGCGCGCGTTTCATCCTATTTGGGACTCGTCAGCTGGATGTACCTGCATCTTAGAGTTGACGTTCGAGTCCTGGAGTGAAGATCAACTCTGAGATGCAGGTACATCAGACCGACGAGTCTCAAATAGGACGAAACGCGCGTCCTGGATTCCGCTGCTAGCCACTACCCATCTTTGTTTATAAAACTCGTGACTTAAGGCAACATCGAGACAATCCACACAGGATGTACATATGCCAATAAGAGACTGATCAGTTGCAGTCCTAAACAACAATGGGAAAATAGAAGCAAACAACACCAGGTGAATGTAATTTATATTGTTTCGAATTTTTTCTCTCTTGAATTCATGTCTAAATAAAACTGACCATCAGTCTGTTTTTCAGCATGTAAAATATTGTTTATCCTGTTACCCTCTTTAAAATATAGTCCATCTTGTGTAAATAATTAGATTTATCCTTCTTATTTTATAGCGTATTTTTTATTGTTGCATTTTAAGTAATATTTGTTTGTTTCCTTCATAATAATATATCATCATCTATTTTAATGATCATAGGCCGATTGTAAAACCAACTTACTGCTTTAAGCTAGTTATGATCAGTGTTCATCTTGAACTACTATGCTTTCACAACTATAAGTAACAGTGAATTATCAATTTGATTATAGGGATTTTGCGGGGATCACTTTAATTTATAGGTTATATTCGTTACAGTTTAATCTCAAGGAGGACTGGACAGCTGTTTAATCCTGTAATGGGACTCCTCAACAGGAAGTATTCACATCCCAAGTCCCATAAAGAACCCGTAATTATTAGAAACACCGGGTTGGCGCCCAGTAATAAAATCCAATCTTCAAACAGTTTTTTACTTCGATCGATAATCTTATTGTTATTATTCAGTTGGCGGAGGAAGATATTTATTTTTCGTTTTTGCTAGTTTCCTTTTTGAAAAAGAAGTCAACTTAATATATATTCGACTAAGATAACTTGAGTTTTTAAGTAATTTATTACCATTTTTGGCGTTAAATCATTTTTTATGTGTCGGCATTTAATTAGTATGATGCAAAAACTGCGAATTACCATACATTTTAACGATACCGTTAATTATTGTTCACAACGCTGAGTAAATAACCGTTTTAATACATGTGTAATGTGACCTCTCTCTATTTTTTTTAATCTTCATTCAGATTTGATTGGACTAAAGATCGTACAGACGCTGCCTTTCGCCATTTAATGCAAGAAGGTATTGCATGGGTTGATGATTTAGATCCTTGTGGTGAAAGAGTATTTTGGTTTCCTAGCTTAATGGGCTCAATAATTACATCATAAATGTATACTTAATGATGTTATACTGCTTTCATTCCCTGTTTATTTATTTTATGAAAACCAAGGGACTTTCACCAGCCATTATTTTCTACATTATGAACTAAAAAAATCTAATCGTTCATTGTTGATCACTACCATAAAAAGTTTACATCTTTAAACCAACAAACAATAACTTAAAATGACATACCAATTGACACTGTAGTGGCTCAAAGAATTAAGGCCATGCTCAAGAGCATGTTTGATTTTGTCTGCTTTTTAGCGTCGTTGCGATAATCGTTTTTTCATCCCTGTGAAATTTCGTTAATGTGACGCGTTAAGTGTTTCTCACCGTTCTAATGTTAGTGTGTACTTTCTAGCTTGTTAACATTTTCTCTATTATAAAACAACAATCCATTTTATTTGAAGTTTTTTGTTTATATTAAAAATCAGTGTAAATTTGTATTTGCAGTCAATTTTGATGTTGGCTGAAATTTCCTAACTGTCCGCATATTCGCTCCTAAGTGTCCTTCTGGAGCGTGTTGTTTGAGAGTTTCAGTCAGTCAGTCAGCTACAACATAGGACCAGGCACATATATGCATCGGTCCAAGTTGCCATACCTCATTAACACAACAAGATGGACACCAGATTCATAAAAGTAGTTAATTCAGAGGTGGTAATATATAAAAGAAAGATTGCATATAAGGATATAGTACAGGAAGAAAGAATTAGTTCGTAGAAAGAAAGATATGAAGCGATTTTAATCTCTTAGTTTAAGGGAAGACAGGGAGTGTATACACCTACGCCATTGTGATCGATTCTGAGCCATGTCACCAAGAGTCTTCAACCATTGGTTACAACAGTCACGCGGACCCCAACCAAGTAGTCTACATCTACCAACATGGTCGTGGTTAGATAGTAAAAAGGTAATTAGGTGTTATGTTGAGAACCTCATAGACCAACGTTTACTGGCCGTAAAGCAAGGTTTTTAATGAGTTACGATCTCAAAAATTATACTAATACCTTACCCAAGATAGTGTTACCGATGGTTGAATGATGAACAGCTGTGTGTCGTAGTACCAACGATCACCATCTTCAGTGATCTCTAACAGATTATTAATATCTTGACATGACTTTAACTATGATTAATTACGAAAAGTTAAAAATTCCAACCAACAGCAAAATTTATCGCAAATACACATTTACACAGATTTTTGATATATACAAAAGACTTCAAATAAAGTGAATTGGTGTTTTATAATAGAGAAAATGTTAACAAGCTAGAAATTACACACTAACATTAGAACGGTTCCAAAATGTGATGATAAACATTTAACGAGTTACGTAAAATAACAAAATTTCATCATAATGAAACAGAATATCGAAGTGACACTAAGAAGCGAACAAGGGAACCCAAGGAACTAAACATGTTCACCAGCATTGCTTGCAGAGGTGGCTGAAACTATGAATTCTCTACCACTGCATGTTTCCGACTTGTCGTCAGTACGATTTTAGAAATTAAGCATTTCAGTTGTGTCAACATTTGAGTTTAAGTCAATAAATTTTCTAAAACTTGTAATGTTGAATAAACCCATTCTACTAGGAGGAATATTTATTTATAGAAAGTGAGGCTTATTTTGGATCGCATTAATCTAAACGTACAGTCCATCAATTCGCACGGAAAAATCAAGGGTATCCAGGATGTTTGCCTAAATTATGGAGTCCGTTACACTACAGAACCCTGCACTTTGTCGTTTATGATCTGTCAACTTAAGCGCCTTATGTGTAGTTAGAAAAGACACTATAGAAACGTCTACAGATTATCGGAAAATAAAAGTAAAACAGTCACTACTAAATTTATAAGCTTTATTACTTTCGCCAAGTGAACTACAGGTACGCCTTTAACTATACTTCATTTAATTCACTTGATATTGTTTTACTTGAATTTTCCCATTGATGTTTTAGGACTGAAATTGATCAGTCTCTTATTTCAGTCCTAAAACATCAATGGGAAGATTCAAGTAAAACAATATCAAGTGAATTAAACTTCACCCCATCGCACAACCAAGTGGCTATCAGAACTCAGTATCTAAGTGGATAACGCGATGGCGTTCGAAGCGAACGGTACTGAGTTCGAGTCCCAGAGTGAACATCAACTCTGAGATGCAGGTACATCCAGCTGACGAGTCCCAAACAGGACAAAACGCGTGTCCTGGATTCCACAGTCACGGTCGCTTGACCTCACCACTTCTCAACTTTGCCATCGACTACATTCTGAAAACATCTCTGAGGGAAGTACATGACAGTGGTGTAGAAACGTAACTTGGAAACTTTCGGACCTCCAGTAGGTGAATGACCTTTTTATGCGGTTATACGCAACGTATCCAAATCACATTTAATAAGCTGTAAGTTAGTGTACGGCATGTACTTTTTAAATGCAAATCACTTTAACAAAACTGGCAGAAACCGTGAGTGCTGGTTTGAGCATGATGGACGAAATCACTGTACATGCGAAAGGGGATTTTGCGTAGCTGTGCAAAGTTACCAATTATTTCCATGTTTTTCTACAAGCTAAAATTACGCAAAGATTCTAATACTGTCTAACAAATTTCTCGCAATTTCTTACGATTCTCATGATTTACAGATCCGCTTCAAACATCTATATCTAGTTCATTAACTGATGTGCATCAAAACTTTCTCATCATACTACTCTTCGTAAATTTATGCCGTTTGTAACTGAGGAGAAGCTTCGAAAGGGTTAAATCGATTCTACGCAAGAAATCTTGTTATTTATTTTAGTTTTATTCTTTTGGTTTCATTTCAGAATATTATCTATTTATTTTTGGTACCCAACTGTACCGTAATTTATGCATATTACACAAATGAAATGGTATTTGATGAGAGTTCCAGTTTGAACTCAAGTCGTTGGATAATTTCACTGCTAAACAGCGTGCCAGACTTTAGGAATATCATGAATTTGCCACACTCACACACAGTAAATATACCAGATACTCAACAGTTTAACCTTGAAAATTGTTGTCATTGAACATAAACACACTTATGCCTCTTATCCATCGCGAAGCAGAATAGGCCACTCACCAGCATTCTCCATCCAACCCGGTCCTGGGCAATCCTTTACAGCTCTCCAGTTGTTGTTAATCCTTTTCATATCTGATTCCATTACCCAGCGTAATGTGTTCCTTGGCCTTCCTCTTCCCTGCTTCCCTTCAGGATTCCAAGTTAGGGCTTGCCTAGTGATACAGCTTGACACCCGAACTAATGATAGGGAGTGAAGTAGTGGAGCATGTCGATCGCTTCATTTATCTGGGAAGTCTTATCAGCCCTTGTGGTCTGGCGTGTGACGAAATCTCAGCACGGATACAGAAGGCTGGACTAGCTTTTGCCAACTTGCGTCATTTATGGCGTGGGAGAGATATCCGTCTATCAACCAAAGGACGTGTTTACTGCGCAGCAGTTCGTTCCGTCCTGCTTTATGGCTATGAAACATGGCCGGTAAGAGTAGAGGATATTCATAGGTTACTAGTATTTGATCATAGGTGTCTTCGAAATATCGCTCGTAAATTGTGGGACCATCGAGTAAGTAACGCAGTTGTTGGGAAACGGGTACTAGGTAAGGATGGAAAATCAATTGATGAAGTAGTGAAACTTCATCAGTTGAGATGGCTGGGACACGTGTTACGTATGCCCAACCACCGACTGCCCCGAAGTGCTACGCTTTGTGGTGTATGAGTAGGTTGGAAGAAGGCTAGGGGAGGCCAGACCAAAACACGGCACAAATCCATGAAATCACTAACAAGTGGACTGAGCCATGTTGGTAAGTGTAGACTATTTGGTTGGGGACCGCGAGGTGACATGGCTCAAAATCGTTTGCAATGGCGCAGGTGCATTGTGTTTTTCCAAATTCTAATCTCCTGAATCCTCCTTGTCTTTTTTTCTCTCTTCTCAAATTTATTTCACTGGATTATACTCTTTATATAATATCTTCAAACCCTAGTCTTTCCGATTACTGCTTATACTCTTATTACCTCTACCACTACGGGATTTGAACCGACAACTGCATCCCTGTGCTAATGTGGTGTGGTAACTCGAATTGATGTACGTACGTACGAAGTTCTACTTTGTTACTGACTGACTGAGTGGTACAGCTTGATGATTTCCATAATGTATGTCATATCCACTTCCAGCGTCTTTTCATAATTTTCTTTTCAGCTGAAGCTGGTTTGTTCTCTCCCACAGTAGGCTGCTGCTGATGCTTTCCGGTCAACAAACATTAAGTATCTTACATAGACAATTGTTTGTAAATACCTGCACCGTTTTGGTGATGGTTGTAGTAGTTTTCCAAGTTTCAGCTCCGTACAGTAGGACAGTCTTGACGTTCGTATTGTAGATTCTGACTTTGATATTGATTGACAGTTGTTTAGAGTTCCACATGTTCCTCAATTGTTGAAATGCTGGCTTTGCTTTGCCAACCCGTGCCTTCACTTCTGCATCGGATCCTCCTTGTTCATTGATGATGCTGTCCAGGTACGTGAAAGTTTCCACCTCTCCCAGAGTTTCTCCATCAAGTGTGATTGGGTTGATGCTTTCCGTGTTGTATTTCAAGATCTTGCTTTTTCCCTTGTGTATACTAAGGCCTACTGATGCAGGGGCTGCTGCTACACTCGTCTTCATTTGTTCGTAAACATCAACACAGCATTGCTTCAATTTATTTTTTATTCTTTAATTGAATCTTTCCATCGATGTTTAGGACTGCAATTGATCAGCCAATTATTGGCACATGTGTATCCTGTACGAATACAAAATTGAATTGAAAACTCAACCCATTTCACAAGCTAGTGGCTATGAGAGCTGAGCAGTAAAGTGGATAACACGATGGCGCTTGAAGGGAACGGTGTTGAGTTCGAGTCCTAGAACGATCATCAACGCTGAAATGCAGGTCCATCCAACTAACGGGTCCGAAGTAGGAAGGAATGCGCGTCCTGGATCCCACTGCTAGCCACCATCCACCTTTGCTCACAACATTGTTCGTTATATATTAATTCCTCATTCAACTTGTGAATAAATATTATCATAAGTAGCTCATGTTTCCTTACTATGCTTACTGGACAATTGTTTGTTTGCGGCTACCTACTTTCACCTCTGAAATTTATCTTCAAATCATTGCCCGAATTTCATACAAACCTGTAGCTAATTTTCAGAATGACCGTCAAATCTTTTCGTGAACAAAATTCAACAGCTAACATGTTGACCAATAAATTTACTGCTTTGTAGTTGCAAAATCAAGCCCTGAAAAATGACAAATCGTCACAGATAAACAGTATATAATTACGAAAATATTATAAGATACCCACAATAAATTAGTATTCATAAATACACAGAAATTAGTCTTTAATACTAGCTAAGTAATCAACAATAATGTATTTTTGCCATTTCTGAAATATGATCTATACATAAATATGTTGAAGTATGAAAGACATTATTACATGAGTTTCAATAAAAATTACACTTGAAGACAAGGTAGTTTATTTTTAAATAGCTGAAAATAAACAACTAATATGAAGCCTAAAATTGCACCGAGTGCTGCTCCGAATTGTGTAGATAACCCAGCTAATCTGAGTCGCGTTGGTCTATGGGAATGGCTAGACAAACTCATCCATATCCATGTGCGCAAACTGGCAAATAAACAGCGTATCGCAATCCAAGCCAGGATCTATAGGATTTAGAAGACAATAAATAATCTAGTGTAAAAATCACTTATGTATTACAGTATTTTGCACGTTTGATCAAATTATAGGAACAATCCTTAGTTATTTGATAGCTTAGTGTTCACGACCAAGTGATGTCCCGTATCACCAAGCATCCCTAACTACATTGATAATGGAACAGATACTCTAACCAGTAATATTACAGAGAGTCAGGCAGTTAAGGATTGATCAAAGTGGCCCCACTTCAAACAGTATAGATAAGTTAAGCAAACGGGTTAAGATGATAATAGCGGTAACAATAATAAACTAGAAAAAAACAAATTAATAATATATATGCTCAGAACTTACGAGTAGATCAGTTATTAACATAATTGCACTGATACTAAAAAGTTCTTAATAATTTTAACCCTAGTCTCAAAAGTAGATTTCCGGATTCTCAAGAACTCTAATAACAAAACCAACAGTTCCTGTAGATTAATATAACGTTTTCATCCGAACACCCTGAGGTTCAATTCTTCCTATTTGAACTAGTATACCAGGGTGACTTGACATACATTTAATTACCTCAAACTTCCATTAATCGCACTGTCACCATCATCACATAATCAAGCTTTCTTTTATCTTCTTGACATTTCGAAAAACGACTTTTGTCTTACAGTCAATCATTAAAACAGGCCATTTAGATGAATTAGAACAACAATTTCATAGTCCAACACCAACAATCGATATGCATACATGGATGTATTGATTGACAGATAAGATAAAAAAGAATTAACCACCCATTGCAAAAAGTCCTATTATACGTTAAAATTCACCAAAAAACTCGATGCATCATAAAATGTGTTTCCGTTTGATATTAAATTGGTCGTGACATTAACAGAAATGAGCTACGTTCAATCATGGATAGAGAATGAGTATACGAAAAAATAAGGTCGCATAATATAGTGATCAAATAAATGGTAAAATATTGTTTTGTACTAAGCAAGCATAGACATTTATCGAAATTATTAAGTACAAGTGGTATTTGTTGGTTATTAGGAATGAAATTATATTTGTAGGAATCTAAGTGATTGAAACAGAGCAGTTCGGACCAGCGATGCGTTTCTTAGATAACATCTTCACATCAAAAAGATTCAATACTTCACTTCTACCTAAAGTTTGAGCTGATTATATTGTTCAGAAGAAAAAGGAAAGCTCCACGACCAAACCATTCAGCTCAGAGAACGAAACTCCAACAAAAAGATTCGATATATGAAGATGACTAGTTAATTATTTGGTACAGATTTATCTTTGTGATTCTATTTATCATTAAGCGAAGAAATTATTTGGATTCAATCACTGAGATCTTAATAAATATGATTAGATTTCTAGTCTTTTCTACAAATAAAGTAAATGAACCCACTCACCAGGTATTTTAGTAGAAGTCACACTAAGTATGAGGGGTTAATGCTGCTATCCGGTTGCCTAAACTGATATAGGTGGAACGAGATTTTTCAATAATCTAGATATTTAATTTCTATCCATTTTTCACAATTGAGGATAAAAATCAAATCTACATATAACTCGTATTTCATCAGGTTGTAATTACACTAGGTGTTGATAAAGAACTAACACATTTTTATTGACTATGACTGGGAAGCCTTATAATTTGAAAATAATTCATTAAAATAAACAGAAAAAAAGAATAAAACCAAGACGTAACGTACAGCACTGGCAGAACCGAAACCACCCAAATATGGTGGATTGGGACTTGAACTCGCCAAATATATAACGTAAGCAACAGGTATCAAAGAGATGAGTGAAATACTAATCCATTTATTTTGAAGTGAACGCGTATATGCATTATGCATAATTATGTCAGGTTTTTGTATGTAACAAATTTGATTCTGTTCATTTAATTCATGGTTCATAGTTTGCAAATTTTCGAATGTTGATTCATCAGTACTATCTATTTCCCTAGAATAATGATTGACAAGAAATGTAGTTAACACTGTCATTGCAGCAGAGAATGATCCTGACAGTGTAACTGCTAAATGATATGTAAGCGAGCCATACGCAGCACATGAATAAGATTGTATGGCTGGTAGAAATCCATAATTTGATGCACTAATGTAAATGATAAGTAAACATGATAAAAATGTGTTTGGTCCAAGCTGTTTTGTAATATTAACATCATTATGAGACTGTACAGCTTGTTCATTATGATTCAACACAGAAACATCAACTAGAAAAATAGGCAAAAGGGGATTTAAAAGAGGATTACTGAACTTAACTTTATAGTTTATTTTCCAATGTTTAAAAGAGAAAACTAAGATATTTTCTTCCCATTAAAAATATGAATTTACGTTGTTATTATAATAACTCAACCTGCAAGTGAATGGTTAGCAACTTAAGCTGTGATATAATATGGCAAACAGTATGGAGATATAACTTTTGGGGCTACAATATGTAGGATTATTTTTTATATATTCATCGTTAAATTAGCAGACGCTTAGATTGTTTTATATTTATATTTTGATATTACTAAGCTTTCGTTTGACCCATAGGTCATTGTCATATATATCTTATTTCAGATTTATCGTTAATTGCTCAATTCCCCAGTATTATGGTTTTTTACGACTTATGACTAGACTAAGTGAATACTGTAATTTCCCAAATATGTTGCTGTGTATTTAGGTATTTCAGGTACGTTATTGTATAAGCTTCGAGTCAGTACTGAATAAAATAAAGAACTAATCGGCTACCTATCTGTCTTCTAATTGGAAACTGAGTTAAAAGGAGCTCAAGGACCGATAAGCATGGGAAAACTAAAATTTATGGACGACTTCTGAGCAACACTAAAATCACCTTTAGAAACTTTAAACACTTACTAGGTTCGAAAGGGAGTTGTGAATCAATGTGAGGGACTAGGACTGATATTTGACCATAGCAGCGAATGAATTTCGTGCTACAACTCAGGAGGTGCTATTTGAGATCTGGTTGGTTCATCCATAAATCATAGTTCTACCATAAGAATGAAGGTCTTGGTTATTGTTTATTGGTCACTGTATCGGTTGCTAAATAGAAAGTCACTGGTCCTACTGACAGTATAAACAAACTAATCGATAGTTGGACTAAAGAAAGATCATACAACTGTTCCTATAATTACGGCACGACGACAAGGAAAGTATAACAATCCAAGCAATCCGTTTCTCTCATTTCAATGTTGTATTAGTCTGGTACCTAAATGGTTGATAATATCTTATAACCATTTTCTATTTCCCCAGGACCTCCAACAATTGAACACAAAACGGAAGAAAATAGGGGACAAGTATGAAAAAAAGCTTTAGTTCCATGGTAGGTTAATGTAAAAAAGCACGAATATTTATGGGTTCATGGATGACCTTGATATTTTGAAAGCTTCTGAAATAAAATTAGTAACAAAATAGGTAATTATTCAACCGAAATATGACATAATCGATGGTTTTTCTAGAGGTTTGCAGGAAATTTCTATTCGTTGCTTGTTTTAATAAAACATTTTCAGTCTTCCCCTAGCTTCTAAAGACACTACCGATGACTTCTCGAGGAATCTCAACACGTGTTTCAGGTCTTTATAGAAACCATGGTAATCAGTACTAAACGTTACCTAACACGCTTTCTTACCAATCATTTAATGATAAAAAAATTACATGAATATTGCTTGAGGTTGACTGAACAGGCGAAAATGAGTTTCAGGGACAACATCAAACAGATGAAAATCACGTGGAATAGGTAGAAATAAATTCATTACCGAATATTACTACTATTGTAAATGCATATATTTTATTTGAATGTCTTGCAGGTGAACTAAGCCTTTAAGAATCACATGTTTTAATTTCACATATTAATGCATATTCACGTTATAAGTGAAACAATGGCCTTGTAATTTTTCCCGTGAAATGTGAAAAGGGCAACATGTATCGTATTTTTTGTGCAAGTCACAATCATGTGATAGAACACCTCAAGTCGTATGTCAAAACACCCACATACAATCGAACTGTGAGATATGAGCGCGGAAAAAAGAACAATAACGAACAGATTAGTGTAAGGTAGTGTAATAATAATAATAATAACAATAACAATAATAATAATAATAAAATCATAATAATAATAATAATAATAAAATAATAGTAATAATAATAATAATAATAATAGAGGAAACGGAAAGGTACAATCAGAAGAAATCTTCCACATAAGGAAGATACAACCACTTTTTATGAAGAAAGTAAAAGAAGGTTACACCAGAATCACCACTGGCTTCTATTCTGAGCCATATCTGACAACGTCTCTAGCCACTGTGTTGCACCATCTCTCGGATCATAAACAGAGAGGCGTGAAACTACTTTTCTTGCTTCAAATAACAGTTAAATGATTCGAATTATTATTATTATTATTATTATTATTATTATTATTATTATTATTATTATTATTATTTACTACATCATTATTCATCCTCTTTTATATTCCTACTCTGTCTATACTTACTTTCTCGACTTATACAGCAGCTCGTCTATGGTAGAAATTCGACTCTATCTAAACGTTCTCGAGTCACTGTCCGGTTGAAAATTGTATGCTACCACCGAATATGAGTACTGAAGCAGTTTTTCTGAAGCCACGTGCACCATTCAAACTAGCTACCTTCAACGTTCGCACACTTATGCAGGTTGGACAACAGATAGGGCTGGTTATGTCTTTGGAAAGTCAGTGAAATCATTTAAATCAATTCACATGCAAAATGAGGGATGAAAGATCAGAAGAAAAACCCAACATTATTTACAAGATGAGCTGTCCAAATTATGAGAAAAACTACATCGCTTGCACAAATATCAACTAGCGGTCAAATGCCATGATATATCTTCGTTTATATCAATGGATGTGGACAGCTGTGGACATACACTCGACTAGAAAAAAATGTTGAAAACTAGGATAGAGGGGATATTAAGAACACCAGGGAATTTTTAGAAGCTTGGGACTCAAGTTAATTAGAAATTAACAAACATATCGAAATCGATTTATCGACCAATCGGAAAAATCATGAACAGATATAAAATCAAGAATCAGATCGAAGGGAGATATAATCAAAATGAAGATGCAGATAACGCCAAGTTGAAAGTCAAAAATAACCAATTAAGATTGAAGTCGATAGAACAACCTGTAGATCATATGTGGATAAATTCGAATGTTTTACTTCTACCTGAAGTTTTTGCTGTTGTTGAGAAGAAAAATGCAAGCTCCACGAGCAAATCATCCATCACAGAGAACAAAAACCCAATAAGATTGTCCACCTAAGCTACAAACCCTTTCCCCCACTTAAAAATTATATGTGTACATACTAGGCATTAGAAGAGCGTAACATTAACAACATAGAACATGATCATTAAAAATAGATGACATGAAATTGTCAATCCATCTGTACATAATGGCCATATGAACGATAACTCTTATTATCATTAATATCGTTATTGATAGTAACAATAATGACAACAATAATATAAATGATAATAATAACAATAATGATAATAATAAATTTCAGTAATCTAGTAGATCTATAGATGTCAATCCACCAACGACGGGAGGAATCAGGATGGCCATTAGACAAATCAAGGGCGGGAAAGCAGCAGGATCCGACAAGGCAAGCTTCCACTCGAGAACTATATTTTCTCCATGAGTGTCTTCGCCAGCATGTTCTACCAACAAGAGTAAGATATAGACCTCCAATCAACTGCCCATTAGGATGGAAAATAGCTTAGCAAAGTGGAAGAAAAATGGTACACCTAATGATAACGGATGCACACTACAGGATCCGCAAATACCAACACGTCATAGAAGACCATAAGATGAAGCTACAAAGGACGCTCACATCAGAACATTTTGAAATCGTGACAACAGCCATCGATATATCATGCAAACGACACAGAGAACAAAGAAGAAACACCTTAAAGAAAAAACTAATCAAGATCTCAAAACCACCCATGGAAGAAAACACAAACAACTACGTGACCAATCTGTCAAAACAACCACTAACAAATACGGAAGAACACCTGCTCCAAAAGGGATTAAACTACAATATAAGCGACGCCTCAAAGCTGGAGTTCTTCGCAGCACTAGAGTCATCACTCAAAACTTCCGGAATCAGTGAAGAAGCACAACAGGAAATAAGGCAAACTATAGTACCGATAACTCAACAGGTGAAAGAAAACAACCAACTGACTCCACAAGAACAAAAGGCCTTGAATGAACTCAGAAATAGAAAGGACATTATCATAACACCAGCGGAAAAAGGACGCACCACAGTAATAATGGACAAAGAAGAATACGTCAACAAAGCCGAAGAACTACTCGAAGATAAGAGCACATACAAACTGATGGACACAAATCCCGTCAAAAAATTAGACAACCAAATCTCAAAGACTTTAAACAAGCTAGTCAAAGCAGGAGAAATAACAAAGCAAGACCAATGGAGAATGAAATCCAGTGGACCAGTACTCCCTCGATTCTACGGCAGACCCAAAATACACAGACCAAACATTCCACTACGTCCAGTTGTAGCACTACCCGGAACACCAACGTACAATTTGTCAAAAGAAATTTCACCAATACTGAGACATCTAGTAGATTCAGCCAACCACTCCGTCAAATCCCCAACACAATTCCTGGACCAAATTAAGGATATTCAAATCAACAACGACGAACTCATGATATCATTCGACGTAACAGCACTGTTCACCTCAATTGAACCACAGTTAGCAAAAAAACTATATCCCTGCTGCTCAACAACGACACAAATCTCAAATTCAAAGTCTACTGGAACTCATCGGTTCATGCTTAAAAACGTATTTTCAATGCAACAACAAAATCTACGAACAAACGAAAGGGACACCAATGGGATCACCAATATCAGGACTGATCGCAGAGGCAGTGATGCAAAGACTAGAAGCCACTATATTACCAGTGATCAAGCCAAAATTTGGATTCGCTATGTAGACGATACCTTCGTCATCGTCGAAAAGAATGGGCTGGAAAAAACTTACAAACTGATCAACAACGTTTTCAATGACATCAAGTTCACAATGGAACAGGAGTCAAACAACCAACTAGCATTCTTGGATATATTGATTACTAGAACCGAAACAGGAAAACTGGAAACTCAAGTATATAGGAAACCGACACATACAGATCAAATCCTCAACTACAACAACAACAAGCCAAGAGCTCACAAAGTCAACTGCATACACAATTTTTTCAAGAGGGCGAGGACACACTGCAGCACGAAAAAATGAAGAGAAATACCTGAAGGACATATTTCAAAAGAACGGCTACCCAATCAACTTCATCAAAAAACACCAACCGCACGCAGCATCAGAACCCAAGTCAAGCACAAAAATCAACAAAAGAATCACCCTACCGTACATACAAGGAATATCAGAAACCACAACGAGACTGCTGAAAACCTTAGGGATAGGTGTGGCACACAAACCGACAAAATCACTACAATCAATCCTATGCAAACCAAAGGATGAAATAACAAAGGAAAACAAATCAAACATCATCTGCAAAATAAATTGTACCAACTGCGAAAAACACTACATCGGACAAAGCGGACGCCCCCTCCACCTTCGCCTACATGAACATCAATTAGCAGTCAAACGCCATGATATCTCTTCACTTATATCAATACACGTGGATAACTACGGACACTCATTCGATTGGAAAAATGTAGAAATCTTAGACAGAGGAAACTCCAAAAACACCAGAGAATTTTTAGAAGCTTGGCACTCAGGTCAATCAGCAATCAACAAACATATTGAAATTAATCTAATTTATCAATCAATCAGGAAAATCATGCATAAATATAGAAACAAAAATCAAACCAATGGGAGACAACCAAAACAAAGAAGTAAACAATGATAAATTTAAGATCAATAAGAACCAATCAACATCGATGTGCACAGAACAAGCTGTGAAACATATGGAGAAATTCGAACACTTCACTTTTATCTGAAGTTTGTGCTGATGATGTCGTTCAGAAGAACGATGCAAGCTCCACGACCAAACCATCCAGCTCAGAGAACAAAACTCTACCAAAAAGGATCCGACAATATACCAGCTGAACCACTGAAGTCAGGCATCGCAGTAACTACAAACATGTTTTACCTTCTATTCAAGAAGATTTGGGAGGAGGAACAAGTGCTGATGGACTGGAAAGAACAGCTCATCAAGATTCCGAAGAGAGGCGATCTGAGCAAGTGTGAGAACTACAGAGGCATCACATTACTGTCAGTATCAGTAAACGTTTCAACAGTGTTGCTGAACCGGATGAAAGATTCAGTAGACGCCCAGCCTCCAGATCACCAGACCATATTCCCCAGGGATCGGTCGTGCACAGACCAAATCGCAACATTACGGATCATCGTTCAACAACCAGTTGAGTGGATATCGACACTATACATCAATTTTATTGACTATGAGGAGGCGTTTGACAATGTGGATAGGAGGACTTTATAGAAACTCCTTCGACACTATCAGTGATTAGCTGAGAAGATCGTTAACATGATCCAGAATTCATGCAAAGTGGTGCATGTAGGACAGTTGACAGATGCATTGGAAGTGAGGACCGGAGTCAGACAAGGTCTCTTACTCTGCTCCTCCCTCTTTCTCCTGGTGGTTGACTGGATTATGAAGACCTCGTTAGCTAGGAGGAAACACGGAATACAATGGACAGCTCGGAATCAATTAGACGATTTGAACTTTTCAGATGATCTGGCCCTCCTATCCCACACACGAACAAATGCGGATGAAGACAACGAGTGTTGTAGCAGCCCCTGCATCAGTAGGCCTCAGTATACACAAGGGAAAAAGCAAGATCCTGAAATACAACACGGAAAGCATCAACCCAATCACACTTGATGGAGAAACTCTGGGAGAGGTGGAAACTTTCGCGTACCTGGACAGCATCATCAATGAACAAGGAGGATCCGATGCAGACGTGAAGGCACGGGTTGGCAAAGCAAAGCCAGCATTTCAACAATTGAGGAACATGTGGAACTCTAAACAACTGTCAATCAATATCAAAGTCAGAATCTACAATACGAACGTCAAGACTGTCCTACTGTACGGAGCTGAAACTTGGAAAACTACTACAACCATCACCAAAACGGTGCAGGTATTTATAAACAATTGTCTATGTAAGATACTTAATGTTTGTTGACCGGAAAGCATCAGCAGCAGCCTACTGTGGGAGAGAACAAACCAGCTTCAGCTGAAAAGAAAATTATGAAAAGACGCTGGAAGTGGATATGACATACATTATGGAAATCATCAAGCTGTATCACTAGGCAAGCCCAAACTTGGAATCCTGAAAGGAAGCAGGAAAGAGGAAGGCCAAGGAACACATTACGCTGGGAAATGGAATCAGATATGAAAAGGATTAACAACAGCTGGAGTGCAGGAAAGGATCGCTCAGGACAGGGTTGGATGGAGAATGTTGGTGAGCGGCCTATTCTCCTTCACTAGGAGTACAGGCGTATGTATGTAAGTAATCTAGTACATGTCAGTGTACGGTTCTTTGAGTTATATTTATTGTTAGAAAATAATATTATTTAGCTACATAAACTGAATTTTAAAAGTAGTTCAGTCAGTAACTGTAGAAATTACCAAGAGGTTTGTTTTCTCTACACGATTATCATTATACCCAAGCCTTTTCAACATAATAAACTTATGCTTTGTTAATAAGTTTTCACTTTCAATTCATAAAAATGTCGTCATAAAATCATATTCATATAATTCCATAAACAAAAGTAAAAACAAAACAAAATAGGAACATACCATTTTGAATGTTTTCGAAAATATCATTAGAAATATGTTGATCTTTATTTGATTTAAATCTTTCTAGATTATTGTGACTTATGCTATGAATATTTGCATTAGATTCTAATATGAAATTAGTTTTTCGATAATGTTCATGAATAACTTGACCTAAACCAATAGGTGAACAATCCAATAATGTGAATGCAGTTAAAGATAACAACAAAACAATACATAATAGATATATGAATGTACTGACAGAGAAACGTGGTGGTGGATAAAAAGGGACCACATGAAGTGTATCATTAACTGAAGAAGAAAAAAACATAAATAAATTGAAAGAATCATCAACAGTTTAACAGAATTGTTTATTTTATTATTAAGAAAATGTATGCCAATATCTCGATACATATTTGTTAGTATGTTTGTGTTATTTCAATTCAACATATTTTCGCTAAATATAAAAAACATTACACTTGTAGTGTCTAGTACTATGTCAAGTTCACATAGGTTATTTCAGCTTTCAAACAGACCCATTGATTTATAATTAGAGCTTATCAATTATTACTGACCTTGACTGTTTTTACATGAGCGTATTCGTATTGCTTACCTTATTCATCACATGTCTTCAGCTTATTCTCGTCTGAGCATAAATAGTGAGTCGCGTTTTATCAAATTGGATTGGTACATTGCCTTCATTTTACCACTTCTCACCTTTAATATCTGTCTGAATAAACGAATTCCTGATATAAATTTATTAAACTCAATCCGTATTTGACCTATTATTACACCGTCGCACAAACAAGGTTAACCTAGGTGTAATATACGAAGTTAAATGGAAGGTTTATATCCATGGCGTATTTAAAACGTGACTCAAGAAGAATAGACAAATTAGTCCATCCGGAAGCTAGAATAACCTATATAGGCTAGATACAGTACTAGACACTACAAACTAACCGTTAACATTAATAACTAATAACTAAGAAGTAATCCCGTGGTTAAGGCATTTGACTTTCAAACACTAAGTTGCAGGTTCAAAACCTACCTGGTATTATCTAAGTGGCCCTTCCTCTAATAACTAAAATGCGGCTTGAAGCCAAGTAAACGAATATGTAACCGGTAACTAAATGATAATAATAATTTTTATTATTATGGCTATGAGAAAACTTAAGAAATAACAAAATTGGTTATTATATCAGCACAAAATCAACATAAAACACAGTCCTGTTAACTGATTTATCTATGTATCCAGCTCCTTAATTAACATAATCAACTTAGCCTGACAGTTCAATTACGAGTCAAACAGCAGGGTGATAATAACTGTTAGTGAAATTGAGTGAGGTAAATTCGAGCCCCAAAGAGATCGATTTTTTCAAAATAACAAATACATCTTGCTTGTAAGATCCGACTAACATGAAGCTTAAGTCCAAGGCTCTCCATTGAATCTTCGCAATTATTTAACATCACAATAGTGCATAAAATAACGAGTCACTCAGTCTGTTGGATAAATTAAAACCTGATTGATAAAATTCATTCACACTTAGGGACTAGACAACATAACATAGCTTATTACCCAATGATTAGTTAGTTTAAACATTGCTATTGTGAAAAGGGGGAGGATTCTAAACTCAAAAACTATGATTTACTTGCGATTAATAATCATGACAGTTAAGTGAAGGGTTCTGTCGCCACGTTGACAAGTACGCTATCTATCAGTCGGCTACATAAGATTTCCACTATAAGAGGATGAATGCCATTTGTTTATTTCGATTATTCACAGTTTTCATTAACTAAAGTTATATCAGCAGATTATGTATGGATCAGTAATCATAAAATGAGTAAAGTACACACTGATGAAATAACCATTTCATCCAAATACAAAAAAATTATTAGCACCAACAATAACATAGATGTAATATCATTTTAAACTTTGTCAGACAATTAGTTGTATGCATATGGAATCTTAGATAAAAAGAAAATCATACTAATTATACCTGTTTTATTGATACATTCCGGTTCTGACCCAACTCCTTGAATAAGGGCTAATATACTTGGAACTAAATCACTAAATGCTTCACCGAAATGTAATGCACCTACATACAATTGAGGCATTCCATTCAAATAGGTAATAAATGTAACCGATGATGTACAATCGACAATTGAAGCAAACAAAGCTAAAACAAATAATCCAATACTATGGTAACCGGGTTTTAATATTGATACATAAGCTACCGACTAAAAATAAGGAAAAAAAGATGACAATAAAAAAAGTATGATGATGAAACGAAGATATACATACTGAGTGAATTGATATTAAGTATTACATTTATTTAAAAAAAAACGACAATTCATTTAACTACTGTTGTGAATCAACACTCTAATTACTCAGTTTCAACAAGTGAGTTGAGAGTTAAAACTTATTCTTTTTGCTAATGTTAAACGAAAAATGCAGACAAGCACAACTCAATACGAAATAATAAATAAATTGCTATATTTTAACGACCACTATATACAGTGATTATATTATCTTTGAATAATTAAATTTACTGAATGCCCGATTATAATTGATGCGTTCTTCTTCCGTTTACCATTTCTTGAAGAATATACATCACTCAATTCTATCCAAATCAAAACAAGAACCAAAGAGGACAATATATTTTTCAATAAACTCAAACAACAAAAGCATTAGAGCTTAAGTATATAATGTACATAAAAATATTCTAGCATTTTCTCGATTCATTCGCTGACACTGATTAATTAAAAAATACATTAGTTAGTGTATACTGATATGATTCTGACCACAATATTCAATAGTTAGGACTTTATTCAACAAACAATAATGGTAAAAGTTGATGTAAACATTAAATACTAAAGTAGAGCTCGAACTTTTAATCTGATGAATTAAAATCGATTATCTAAACCGATCAGCTAGAATCACAATTAAATAAAGACACAATTACAAAGTTAACCCAAGAGATAATTAAATATTCAGAAATTTTGATGAGTAATTTGTGGCTTTTTATGGGTCACATACAAGAATTTGTACCAAAATGTGCTATTGTATATTTTAATAGGTCATTGGAAACTGTGAAAGTGGTAACACAGTATTTTATTTTCTGTTTTAGAAATGACTGTAAGTTCAACTCTCTCATTTTCATTACTCAAATAGAAGCAGGATCACTTCGGTCATTGAAGAAGCGAAAACAATTAGCAATAAGTGGCAAAAAAATAATGACAATATCAAAATAACTTTATCATTAAATATATTGATTCACAAAATATGAATTTAGAAGCTTGTAAAGTAAAGATAGAAATCCTAAAGTTTAGGAACTGTCATAAATTGTTTGCTAAGGATAAAATAACAAACCATGTAAAAATGTTACAAACATCCATTTAAAGACTTTGGGTTTAGAAAAAATGTTTGCATTAAGTAAAAAGCAACCAAATGCATAACCTCACAAGTGACTATATTCAAAAAAGAATAAGTAAATTTTCTCATTCAAAAATAATTATCTATACTTCGCTTCATAAAATGTAGGATTGTATCAAACGTGAATCATATTAATTTGAAAGATCTGAGTATTGACAGAATTATAACACAAAGAATGCCCATATTGAAAAATTGAAAAAATAAGCTGATAATATGATAGATATACCAGAAGAGATAAACACAGTGTTATCTTGGAAATTGATACACTTGTATACCGACTCAAGTGACTATAATTTTTATCAACATAAAGCAAAGAAGGCAACGGTTGTGAAGCGCGGTGTCCAAGATTTGATACTGATACTCAATTTTATTATACACGAGCCCAGCTAGTTATTAGTGAAAAGACGGAGAGTGGGAAAGTTTATAACCGAAAGAATGAAAATAAGTCAGTAAGATGAAGATTATAATGTACAGAACGCAAAAGTACTCCAATTCAAAGAAAGCTGAGGAGTGAATGTGTCCACATCACTTGATCCGTTGTTTCACTAAATGACTTTCCCAGATCGCTTAGTCAGGAAGACAACATGATTACTTACATGACTTAAACCAACTTCTTAAAACTAAGTATATTGATCTGACATATATTTATCTGATCACTGAACATTTTTCGCCCTACTTCAACTCCTAGCAGCACAATGACTTAAATTTGATGATACAGCGTACAAAGTGTATCTCAATCAATGATTATACTACACAACTTCATCAAATAAGTATCACATTTTATCTAAAAATATACATCTGCATACACCACTACTCGTTAAATTTACTAAACATAAGAGATCTGCTGAAGGTGTCTGTAAATTAACAGTTGTGACACATTTAGACACTTTTCAACCGCTAATTAGGTACCATGAACTGTTGGTTAGTAGACTTGACTATTAATCAACATTAGGTTATGGTACTGCATTCATAGATGTTGCAAAAATTCATAGTAAGAACTTATCCTGAAACAATGTTCTGTATTTACGAGGTCAAGACAAAAGTGAACTAAAATGGGAAATGGATATCTCCGACAAAAAGCACCAGACGTAGTTACTTATAACATTATCAGTAAAGTGTTCCAAAGAGAATGTCAATTAGGTAAACTAATAATGTTAGTAAATTGATGAGTTTTTAATGGGGTCAAACAAAACTCGTAAGGGTTAGTTTTCCTTGATTATCAACAAAATTCTAGTGATGAATTCAGACTGCATCTAGGTAGCATATTGTTACATAATACATTGAGATGGCAACTTAAATTATTGTCTACACAACCATATACCATCTGATATTTTTTTCTTCTTAAAGGTGAAACAGTACTTCAAACTGTCAGCACGACTAAAAAACGACACTTCGAATGTCAGTAGTGAAGGTGAAAACAGCTTTAATTTCCTCGACTCTCCAGAAATTCTTGGTCTAAGAGGTCTGACGAATAAAAAATATATGTGTAATTTTTTTATAGCATTATGAGCATGACATCACAATTTTGCGACTCTGTTTGCTCATCCCAGAATATGTCATTCAATTTGCAAACTTCGGTTTGTGTTGTGGGATGGTGAGTCATTGACTGATATCTTCCCCTTCATTTTCATTAAGTTCTTATACTTATAAAAGCCTTTCTGTGTTTCAATAAGTTATTTCATTCGATTTATCACAAACCATTATGACGAAATGAACAGATGTATATTTGTGCCAAATTTTAAGCCATTAGAAATAATTCAAAATTAAATACTAATCAAAGGAATGCAACATTAACTTAACTATTAACTTACACCGCCAACTAAAAGGCATACATGTGCATAGAAAAATTAACGGATTTTCAGTTAGAATAATTATCATGCAGTTGAAACTATTCGAGAGAATAAACGACAAACTAATTCATATCAAATTATTTCGAAACTGATAATGTAAATTTACGTATCAATGCCCAGGTTGAACTTGATAGTTTTAAATAAATCGAGTATTGGGTAGAAAGCTAATAATAAATATTTTGATATATCCCAATGACTAGAAAATTGTATTTCTGACGTTTCATGACTTAATGTAAGTCACTTCTTCAGAGTAAATAAATAACCGAATTAAATTAACGAAAGTTTAAATAGTACGAAGGAGAAATGGGGAATATCTGTAGTAAAATCAAAATCGCAATAAGTTTAAACATGTCAAAGTCATGTTATTTTGGTCAAGATGATTCTCTATGACATATCAATTTGTGTGTAAGAAGGTTTCTTCAGTAAGACAATAACAGCTCCATGCATATTTGTCAACATTTTCTAACGCATAGTTCAATAAAGATCTGCAGTTTTCTTGATAATCAAAAGATAAAATAAATCTAAATCTAGTGAACATAACAGTACTTACGTCCCAAAACTGCGAAATCAATATGCATGATATTAGACCGACGGCGAGTATTAAATAGTTGGCTATCCTTTCAGGTGGTTGTAAACAACGTGAACAAAATCCATTTGTTTTAGCTTGGAAAAATTTTGTCAACGGAACATAGATCATTGGTCCCACATTTGCTATCTGGTAATGTATAAACAAGGAAAATGTGGAATATCTGTACTTAAGGACAAACAGACAATGTAAAGATGTGGACAAATAAACAGTTAGATTCTACTCCTCCATACGTCATTCAGGCAACCACATTACTAGTAGCACGCACGTTTTTATACGGTTTGAACAGCTACGAAGTACGTTTCCTGACAGTCGACTACGCAGACGCATATTATATCTACTGTGCAATACTCCCTTTGGTAATAATAACATTAGTGTCCTACAAACATTCTTCTTAATTGTAAAATTGTTTCTAGGGAAACTATGGGTGGTGTTCGCATCATAGAATGATACTATGTTAACAAGGCTACCGAAATCAGAGAGTGTCGGACAGTTGCTTCATTTTATTTGGGATTTTTCAATAGAGTTTACTTATCGTTCTTCCCAGGATATTATTCAGGATTTTGACGTCCCGCAATTTGTACATTGGTTCTGATTAACTGAGTTTAAAATCAATCGTTAAAATTTCCTAAAATTAAACTACTTTACTAAGCAATCGTGATAATGAAATATCAGTCATCATATAAAAATTCTGGGAAAGAAAAAAAATGAATTTTATTCTCATCATAGGTTACAAGATTTTTATGTCGAGGGAAGCCATTTAATTGCTAAAACGACTAGCTGAGATTAGGATTCGAATGAAGATTATGGCATGGAACATGGAGACAGTAGAAATATAAAAGAAAATTCATATAGTATGAAACCAACTAAACTGAACTATTTGGATAAATTCAGTCTTCTCATATAGAGTAAACCCTAAAGTTAAAATTGATAATTAGACACAGTAAACTCTTTGTCAAGGTTTGTATGAAGTACAGATTCTCATAAACGGAAGAAAGCCTATTATTAGATGTTTATTTTCATAAAGGGAGAAAAATCCCTGATACAGTAGTAACTGAAAGACTAATTTCGGCAACCAAACGTTATCTTAACTTTGTATGTAGCTTTATGTGCATTTAAAGGCAGTACCGAGTTTCCAACACAAATCACAGGAGATCAGAAACGTGACAAATACCTATGTCCTTGACGGAATGGCTATCTACAGTAATAAAATAACAAACGATCTATGAAGTTCCAGGGTCTCTATTGTAACTAATTTACAAAATCTTTTGGTAAATTAGCCTAAGCTATAGGAGTTCTAAACAGATCACCTGACAGGTGAGATTTCGCGAAAATTGATAGCGTCAGAAAAAATAGCTGGTACCGTCTGGCACTTCACGAAGTGTTGGGAGACTTAAAATCTCATAACATGAAAATCAGACCAAAGTAACCATCAGAAAACGCTACTAGGATAAGGCACCAATCCGCAAATCCGTAAAAAGTATTGATTGCGTAAAGCTGATAAAAACACCGGTGAAATACACTGTGATTGAAATTCTTACTATATATATTAATGAATTTTTTTTATTTTATTCGATTAGGGGTCATACATCCGAAAGTAAATACCTATAACGTTGATCTGAAATTCTCGTTATTTTATTTTCTTATTATCAGCCATGGACGTTAATGAGGGCTTAACAAAAAACAATAAATATTACGTAAAATAACCTGTGCAGGATATTAACAAATATGTTTATGCATGTAGATTATGATTTTGAGTAGTGCTATAAGAAGCATAAAGATGAGTTGAAGACTTCGGTAATATTTAAAGCCCTTATTTCGTTATTTTCAATTTGATATTAGCATTTAACACCGGTAAATCTAGGTAGTATTCGCATATACATTATCTATAATCTAAAGTACTTGTATAATGATTATCAGGTAAGCAGGCAAACTCCAACCTTCTGGTAGAACATTGATCAATAACGGTAGTTCAACCCACAATCCATTAACAACAATCCATGATCCTAGACCATATAAACTGACAAAACAAGCTGCAAGCCATGTGAATTTTATGTCATTTTTTGATGGGACCATGCTAAAATGCGGAAATAAAGTTATGTGCAAATATATTTAAGAAAACCAAATAACATTAACATCATGAATAGAGATTAATTTTAGCTGTTAAACAAATAATTATTGGAAGAAAAAATAATTACAAAATCAAGGCAATTTAAAAATCATTTGATATTGGGGTTTTTACAGTTTATGTAGATAACTAACATTCACTCACAAAAAAAACATTACGAGTACTGGAGCAACCACAAATAATAATGACCCAAATTTAGAGAACGTTCCATCAAAGATAAAATTCTGATGCAGACTCGCACCAATTTAATGTGCCAAATGCACCAATTTTTACGTTGCACTAAAAATGAATATCTTAGTACTTAAATATTGTTTTTATCATTTGAACTAACGTGATGGCAAATAATATCCAAAGCAATCCATGAGGCTTTTTATGATCGAGTTAGTCTCAAGAAGTAAAAACGCTGAAAATTACTTTCTAAAGAGTTGCGGCTAATAAACTATCAGGAACAAAAATATCAATATTACTAACAAACTATTCTTTTCATCAACAGTATGTATATATTTTACCACTCATAGTGCACTCGCGATAAAAGTAAAAGATGACCTGAATCCTTCGACTTGTACATGTGTTTATTAATTTAATTGCTTTTGTGGAAACAGCTACATAAAAAATTCAGTAACTTCATCGTTACCATCTAGAATATTGTTGTGTGACCAGAAAAAGAAACAATTAAATACATGAAAATGTCAATACACTGATTCAGTGGACACAACATAAAATCTATAAAAGCTTAGTATTTGACATTATGGATAGAATGTCAATGAAGCTTTCAAAATTTGTGTATCTCCACTTACTAAGTATATGAAGCGCAATATGCACCAGAACTTAGTAATAAAATTTATGCATACGAAGTCATTTTCTTGGATTCCATCCTTTGTACAGAAAATATTCATTGCCCCCCCCAAAAGCTGGTATGGCTGAGAGTGGGGTAGGCTCGCACTCCCTCACGAAATCCTATCACACGGCCACGCGTAGACAGCCTCTGCCAGGGAACTCCTACTCACTGCCTTCTCGTGACGGAGGTTTTCTCTGCGAAAAGAAGAGGATGAAAAGCGAATGTCCAGCGCTTTAACCGGATCCCAAACCAAATCAATGGTGCACATGGTCTCCAGTATGCTGCAGAAACAAATGGCGTGCGAATCAATCGTCGGTTACCCGCTAACATGAGACTGCATCTCCTCACGATGCTCCTCTGCCTTAGGTCAAAGGCTCGGCGTGTGGGGCCCCCTACGAAAATCACCTGCTTCGGTCTGGGCACCCGGGCAGTATCACAGCACACACACAAATGATGAACTGTCTATAATTATGGAAACTACTTTTCTTGCTTCAAATAACAGTTAAATGATTCAAATTATTATTATTATTATTATTATTATTATTATTATTATTATTTACTACATCATTATTCATCCTCTTTTATTCCTACTCTGTCTATACTTACTTTCTCGACTTATACAGCAGCTCGTCTATGGTAGAAATTCGACTCTATCTAAACGTTCTCGAGTCACTGTCCGGTTGAAAATCGTATGCTACCACCGAATATGAGTACTGAAGCAGTTTTTCTGAAGCCACGTGCACCATTCAAACTAGCTACCTTCAACGTTCGCACACTTATGCAGGTTGGACAACAGATAGGGCTGGTTATGTCTTTGGAAAGTCTTAATATCGACGTTTTTGTCTATCCAAGACTTGTATTCCAGACTGTGGTGAAGTACTACAAATTCGCTCTCGATCTGTCGCTTCGAAAAGCTTGTTTTACGTGCGATTATCCGAGGATCCTGTGGCATCTTCGTCTGGTCTTGCTGACGTTGGTGTCGCACTAAGCGCTAGAGCTGAGGCAGCACTAATCGAATGGATCCCCATTAACAATCGGCTGGTTATGTGCTGTTAGATTCTGAGCCATATCCGATAACGTCTCTAGCCACTGTATCTCACCGTTTCTAGGACCCTAGCCAGGGAGTCATGAAGGACGAACACAATCCAGCCCTCTGCAACTTACTTTCATACCACGACACCATGTCATGCACTGACCACCTCTCCGCTTCTTCCAACCAGTCCCAGAGTCAGCAAATAATGCACGACGTGGAATTCTCTGGGACGACATTTGTAGAACATGTCTAAGCCACCGAAGTCGGTCTTTCAAGATGGTGACACCAATTGCATTATCATCTCTGCTCCAGAACACACGATGCCGAACCTCTGCACTACGAACATGGTGTTGCCACTGGATGTCAGCAATCCTTCGGAGACAGCGATGATCGAACACAGAGAGTCGTCTAACGTCCTCAACTCGGAGAGGCCAGGTTTCACAAGCATAGAGCAAAACTGCTCTCACCGACGCGTTGTAGATCCGACCTTTTACAGCCAGACTAACATCACGAAGGCGCCAAAGATGGCCAAGATTGGCATAAGCCGCTCCGGCTTCCACCATACGTGCATTGATCTCATCACTCACACCCCCACCAGCACTTATGCAGCTACCCAGATACACGAACTTCTCGACTACGTCTATCTGCTCACCATCCAGGCTGAGTACACGATTAGGATCCTGCAAGTCTTGTAGAAGTACTTTGCACTTCGAAGGTCCAAAGCACATAACATACCTATGGACATTGACTGCCAACTGATTAAGTGCGGATTGCATGCCTTGGGCATTATCGCACAGTAAGACAATATCATCCGCATACTCAAGGTCAAGAAGTCTTTCTCCAGGCAACAGATCCACACCACCATTACTTACAGCCATCAAAGCTGTTTCCAGAATCTCATCGATGACAAAGTTGAAGAGGAATGGTGAAATTGGACAACCCTGTCTAACCCCACTGCTTGAATGGAACAATGGAGAAAGGTGATTGTATGCCCTCACTCTGCCTGAGGTGTTTGTATATAGGGCTTTTAGGATGTTAATAAACTTCTCAGGCACACTCTTCTTCAATAGACAATCCCAGAGAACAGTCCTGTCCAGCGAATCGAAGGCAGCACTAATGTCAAGAAACACTACGATTGTTGGCCTCTGATAAGTATGGCGGTGTTCTAACATTTGACGGAGGGTGAAGACATGATCAATACATCCTTGACCAGAACGAAAACCAACCTGCTCCTCGCAAGTCAATCTTTCTCGGGTTTTGAACAACCTACGAAGTATGACGGAAGCCAATAGCTTGGACGCAATCGGAAATAGACTTATCCCCGGTAGTTGTTACACGAACGATGTGAACCCTTTTTAAAGATGTGGACAACTATCGACTCATTCCATGACGTCGGTACACTCTCTAGCTCCCAGACCTTTGTAAACAACACAGTCAGTTCCTTAGTCAGAAAGTCACCACCATCTTTAAAAAGAGCCGGAGGTAAGTCATCTGGGCCAGATGATTTGTAACGCTTCAAGAGTTGGAGTTCCTTGAGGACTTTCGCCTCATTTGGTGGATCAGTCGTCACCGGCCATGGTGGGCAGGACAGTCTGACCGATGTTGCCGGAGCAGCAGGCCAGTTGAGCTGCCCTTCGAAGAATTCTGCCCATCGTCCAAGACGTCGATGGATGTTAGTGATTGGCATCCCGTCATCCTCACAGTTTGTTTCGCTCACACCAGGCTTCTTGCTGCTAGTGGCTCGGATGAGTTGGAAGAGCTTCCGGTAACTACCAGATGCTGCTGCTGCTTCCAGCTCATTAGCACGCTCCGACCACCATCAGCCATCTCAGTCCTTACGCAATCTTTGCTCAATTCCATTGCGTAACATCCTTCGTTTGTGGTCAAACTCACGGCCACCCGGAGTACACCGACGGGCTTCAATGAGTTGTAAGGAGCTTGAAGAAACCCAGTGCTTATAAGCGGGACGTTTCGCAAACTCACAACTGACTGTACCCGCCATTTTCCTGGCGTCATGCAATTGCAACCAATGCACATCTATACTTTTCGGTGGAATGGTAGCTAGCCTAGAAGCTAGCTTGGCTCAATACTTACTTGCAACAGAAGTTGCAAACAGCTTGCTAACATCAATCTGTTGGTGGCGGTCACTTCGTTATCCACTGAAAAGTAAGGCAAGATTGGCGCAGACCAAGGCATGGTCAGAGTGCAGATAGATACTACAAAAGGAGCGGCAGTCTTGTACACAACCACGCCAGCGGTAGCTGATCGCGATGTGATCAATCTGAGTCCAGGCTTGAGATGCAGAGGGAGGACGCCAGCTGACACATCGGCGATGACTGTGCCGAAAGTTAGTACTAGCCAGAAACAGGTTGTGGTCTGTGCATAGTTGCAGTAGACGGTCTCCGTTATTTGTCCTGCGAGCAACAAGTCCCCATCGGCCACCTAGACGACTCTCTTCTGTGCCTAGACGCCCCATCTGAGCATTCAAGTCTCCGGCAGTACTACAATATCTATCGAACGCACTTTCTGGAGAAGAACAGATAACTGGTGGTAAAATTCATCCTTGATTGCATCCCGGCTGCAATCTGTTGGGGCATAGGCGGAGATGACGAAAAGACATCGTTTCTCACTTTGATGGAACTTTCTAATCTAACAGCACATAAACAACCGACTGTTAATGGGGATCCATTCGATTAGTGCTGCCTCAGCTCTAGCGCTTAGTGCGACACCAACGTCAGCAAGACCAGACGAAGATGCCACAGGATCCTCGGATAATCGCACGTAAAACAAGCTTTTCGAAGCGACAGATCGAGAGCAAATTTGTAGTACTTCACCACAGTCTGGAATACAAGTCTTGGATAGACAAAAACGTCGATATTAAGACTTTCCAAAGACATAACCAGCCCTATCTGTTGTCCAACCTGCATAAGTGTGCGAACGTTGAAGGTAGCTAGTTTGAATGGTGCACGTGGCTTCAGAAAAACTGCTTCAGTACTCATATTCGGTGGTAGCATACGATTTTCAACCGGACAGTGACTCGAGAACGTTTAGATAGAGTCGAATTTCTACCATAGACGAGCTGCTGTATAAGTCGAGAAAGTAAGTATAGACAGAGTAGGAATAAAAGAGGATGAATAATGATGTAGTAAATAATAATAATAATAATAATAATAATAATAATAATAATAATTTGAATCATTTAACTGTTATTTGAAGCAAGAAAAGTAGTTTCCATAATTATAGACAGTTCATCATTTGTGTGTGTGCTGTGATACTGCCCGGGTGCCCAGACTGAAGCACACAATCACACGCTACTCTTTATCAAACCGTTCAGAAGCTGTAGGTGTTAGATTCGTGCAAGCTTTGTGGAACCACCCTTTGCACTCATCGCACTGTTTTTCACTTCCCACAGGGTATCGACAGCTCATGCGTTAGTAATTGCTTTTCGGATTGTTCAGTCATCAAACAGAGATTTTCAAATGAATAAGACACAAGAGGACACGCGGAGACAAGAACCGACAACCAGAAGGAAGGTAAAAAAAACCGTTAACTGTTAGATCCAAAAATGCAACAAAAAAAAGCAAATACACTTTTAAGAAAGTACAGATGATTGCTTACTTTCAAGGAAAAACGATATTATTGATGTTACTTTAGCTAAAATAAATTCAATCAAAAAGAGAACAGTGGTTTCGATGCATGATAAACGATAAAAACTATAAATTTAGCTCAGCGAGGAAGAACAATATTGTCCTTTTTAAAGCAGAGGTTACGGTTGTTCAATGCAGAGAAGCCCTCCACAGAATACTGATCAATGGATAATCAGCTGCGAAAGTAACGAAGTAAATTTGATTACTAGTCGCAGATACTAACCAACAAAACATATTAACGACATTAGGCACTTTGTATGAAGGGAAGTCAATGTCGTTTTACGAACTATATTCTAGGTTGTTCAGACAACCCTAAATTTATGTTGATACTACTCTAACAATGTTTTATGTCATCCAGACAGTGTACCTGACTATTGCATTAGGTGGGCGTAGGTTATCATGACCTAAGAAACAGAATCTAGTCAGTCTCCAAAAAATTATGAACCGACTTGCTTTAGAAAATCATGAAAATTATCAATAAAACCATTATGACTCTCCTTAAAACCCAATGCTTGTAAGACGGTGACCAGTATGACTTTAGCAATGGTAAGTCATGCAAAAAAGAACTTTATTTGCGGGCTGGTCAGCAAGACGTAAATTGGACTAACTTTATAGAAGGTTTGGACGAATTTCCTGACACTACGGATATTGGGTCCGGAAGGCTTAAAGATTGCCAAATACCCACATAGACAGGCTAGAGCTTTCGTAGTTAGCAGGCAACACAGACTAAGATCATCTAACAGAAGACAACAAATGAAGAAACACACTAAAATAGACTAAGACGGGACCACAACTAATTGAAATAATTTAACTTGTAAACACATCCACAGTCAGTCAGTCAGCTACAACGTAGGACCAGGCACATATATTTCAGATTCAGATTTGTGTAGTAAGTACAGAAGGCCTATGTTACTCTTTTTCTAGTATGCTTCTGTGAGTGTCCAGTCTTCTCTAGAAAGGGTCAACTGAAGGTGCGGACACCACTGCTTCAGGCAGCAGGTTCCAAGTTGCCATACTTTATTAACACAACAAGATGGACACCGGATTCATAAAAGTAGTTAATTCAGAGGTAGTAATATATATAAGAAAGATTGAAATAAGGATATAGTACAGGAAGAAAGAATTAGTTCGTAGAAAGAAAGATATGAAGCGGTTTTAATCTCTTAGTTTAAGGGAAGATGGCGAGTGTATACACCGACGGAGAAGTAATTTTCAGACAAATTAGTCTTGAGAATACACTGCTTTGGTCTTATTAGTTGCATAGAAACACACAACGACTTACTCTTAGAGGTCACTTAGCGACAACCTCAGATGGACTATACATATATAACGCAACAGTTGAACAATCCACTCTACTCAGTTTCAGTTTCAGTTTCAGTTTGGGGAGGACAGGATACAAAATGGTTCAAATGGTTGTGGACGGAATAGAAGAAGCTCTCGCTTAACAGGCCTCCGTGTCTAGTAGCAGGGGATCACCAAATCCTCCAGGCAGGAACCTAGGTATGTTAACAATAAAAGAGGAAAAGAAATTGGTAAATCATAGTGTGATGCTGTCCTTGGTCCTTAAGAATAGGTCAAGTTGCCTCTTGAAGGACTCCTGAGAAGTCGCTTGGACTAGCTCGGCCGGCAGCGAGTTCCAGCATTTGACAACTCTTAAGGAGTAGAAGTTGTGTCTACATTCCGTCTTGCTGTGTTGTGTTTCCAGTTTCTGGGTGTTACCCCTTAGGTTAGTGTTAGAACTAAGCTTAAGTAGGTGTTTAAGAGGATGTCCAGAAGTGTTAAGAATACTATAAGCCATTAATAAATCACCTCTAAGATGCCTATATTCTAGTGGGTAAAGGTCTAGTGAATGGAGGCGTTCTTCGTAAGGTTTAGATTTGAGTCCTCGAACTGATTTCGTGGCTCGCCGTTGGATACGCCCCAAAGTGACCTTGTCCTTTTGGAGTGAGGGGGTGAGTACTATGTTTCCGTACTCTAAATGGGGACGGATGAAACTATTGAAGATTGTGTGGAAAGTTCTTCCGTCAAACTGGCCAAAAATGCGCCTCAACGTTACCAGTGCAAGGTTTGCTCGGAAGGCATTTTTGTCACAGTTAGCGTAAGACTTTAAATCATGGGGCACCAGGACTCCTAAATCTTTTTCGACTTGGGATACTACTAGAGAGGAGCTTCCTAAGTTGTAACTGTAGTTTGCGACATGTCGCAGATGAACTACTTTACACTTTGAAGTGTTAAAGGTAAGTCTGTTATCGTCTGCCCAACTTTGAAGTCGAATCAGATCCTCCTGAAGTGCCTGTATATCGTCTTGGTTGCGTATCTCTCTTCCAAGTTTCACGTCGTCGGCAAAAAGTAATAAGTCTGACGTTACCTGTTGAAAAGGATCGTTTATGTAGATCAAGAAGAGAAGAGGCCCTAGTACTGAGCCCTGGGGGACCCCACTAGGACATTCCATAGCTTGAGATAAAGTGAAATTAACCCTGACCTTAAAATGTCGATTTTTCAGGTATGAAGTGAGCCAATCGATTAGAGGTGGTCTGATATCCAATCGTATGAGCTTATTGATAAGACATGTATGGTTAACCTTATCAAAAGCTTTTGAGAAATCTAGGTAGATGATATCAACCTTCCCCTTGTGTCCAAGAATGCTTGTCCATCTGTCCACCGCAGTCAGCAGGTTAGTTACACAAGAGTAACCCTTCCTTAAACCATGCTATTGGGGTGAGAAGAAATTTAAGGATAGTAAATAGTCATTTACACCATCACATATCAGGGACTCCATGATTTTTGAAGGTATTGAGAGAAGAGCCACCGGTCGGTAACTTGAAGGTTCGCTGCGTCGACCTCCTTTGAAAATTGGTGTGATGTGAGCCAGCCTCCAATTTTCCGGTAGTTTTTCTCGACCTAGCGTGTGTGAGAACATCACGCTAAGCGTCGTTGCCAGGGTTGAGGCTGCTTCCCTCAGTATGACGGAATGGACCATGTCCGTGCCAGGAGAAGTGTCTAGTCATACGTGCTGCGGTTTCCGGAACACCAAGTCAGCGCTTGATGGCCTGTGTTAGTCCTGGCAATGGTGGTCTTTCAGTTGATCCAACTTTCTTTTCAAAGAGTCGACGGATGGAGCCTCAACCACGTGCTGAGGTAGTGAATTCCACTCGTTGGTGATTCGATGGGAAAGTCGATAGTCAGCTGACAAGTTATTTGTTATCGGCTTGTAAACTTTTTTGGAGTGTCCTCGTAAATTCTGTTTTGGAAGACAAGAAAAATGAGGGCGTGTTAGGTGCAAATTTATCACTAAGTAATTTGTAGACTGTAATCAAGTCGCCTCTAGTTCTGCGATATGACAACAGGAAAAGGTTCTGCTTGGCCAGTCGGACTTCATACGGAAGCTTCGCTATTCCCGGAATCCGCTTAGTCGCCGTTCTCTGAACCTTTTCCAGAAGCTCACTGTCTTTTTTTTAAGCAGGGTCTAGCCGCTTGTATGCAGTACTCAAGTTTAGGACGTACGAACACTGCATACAAAGTCAAAAACGTCTTAGCGTCGACATCACTAAAAGCTCTCGTATTGACCATTAGGTTCTAAAACCTTTGGCGGCTATTGCACGGTAGTGTGCAATAGTCTTTAGGTCTTGGCTAACGATGACTCCCAAGTCATTATATGTCTGGACGACAGGTAGCTCAGTGTTATTCATCGTGTATGTATCTGTGCCTTGATGACCGATATGCATCGCAACACACTTGGAAGTATTTATCGGCAACTGCCAGGTTTGAGACCATTCAGATAACTTCTTCAGGTCATTTTGAAGTTCTAAGCTATCACTCTTACATCGTATCGTTCTCCATATCTTGACATCGTCAGCATATAGCAAGACCGATGATGATAGTAGACAAGGAAGGTCATTTACATACAAGAGGAATAGCACTGACCCCAAAACTGTACACTGGGGCACTCCACTAAGCACAGTTTCCCAGCTAGATAGCTTTGAGTTCACCCTTACTCTTTGTTGACGCCCAACTAAGAACTCTTTTATCCACCTTAATAAATTGCCTCCAATCCCGACTTTTCTTAACTTGTATAGCAGCCGGTTGTGCGGAACTTTGTCAGAAACTTTACCGAAATCAATGAAGGCTACGTCTACAGGTAGCTTTTGGTCCTTAAGAGCGCACCAGCTTTCACGAGCCACTAATAAGTTAGTGAGACAAGAATAACCTTTTCTGAAGCCGTGCTGCTTCTCCGAGAGGATCCGGTTTTTATCGAAATACTTAAACAGCTCCTTCCGAATAATCTCTTCTAAGATTTTAACAACCACACTAGTTAGGCTAACGGGCGGTAATTCTCAGGTTTATGTTTCGTACCTGTTTTGAAGACAGGAGTTACTATGGCGCTCTTCCAGTCTTTGGTTAACGACCCTGTGTTACGGATAGATTAAAGCATATACTTAAAGGGTTCGCAAAGAAGTTAGATAATTCCTTCAATAGCCTAGGATGTAATTCATCGGGGCCCGTGGATTTACCTATGTCAAGCTTATTTAGTGGACCAAAAACATCGAGTTCTTTAATGGTCACTCTACCCAGTGTATATGTGAGGGGATTTGTATGGACTGACGGGAAGGGTGCTCCTATGGTATATACATTGCTAAAGTAGTTCGAGAACACTTGAGCCTTACCAAAGTCGTCCTCCACTAGTCATGCGGCAGTGCTGTCTCCCCATAGAGCAGGAATATTTCCTCTTCTCTTTGTCCTTTGGTTTATATAGGAATACAAACGTTTAGGACATTCTATGGATTCCTTAACAATTTTTTCTTCGTACAAATTTCTAGACTTACGGAGGGTGGAGACACAGGTATTCCGAGCTTTTCGATACTGAGGTTTTGTTTCATCAGTTCCCAGTAAGCAAAATATATCCCACATTTTTCTTCTCTTAAGGGGAGGAATGCGGACCTCCCTACTGAACCATGGTGGGGAGTTTCTCGGTCTTCTTGGTATAGTCCAAGGGGTGTGGAGTGTGGTAACATTTAAGCTTGAATTTCGAAGTGCGTCCCAGGCCGTTTCAATGGAGGACTCTGGGTCTATTGTCCAATCTACTAACGATGCTGAGTGCATGATATCTGGTATGTTTGCTTTCCAGAAGTTAGGTCTGGATTGGACTGACACGTGCTCGTGACGGACAGTCATGTGGAAGTCGAAAGTTAGAACTGCGTGGTCACTTTTACCTAGGGTTGGCATGTAATGGAGGTTCGCAACTTCACCCTCATAGTGAGTTAGTATAAGATCTAGTAAGGATGATTCAGTGTCCGGGTAGTACCTAGTCACATGTTGCACTAGGGCACATGTGATAACCCCATCAACTAGTTCCTGCTCGAAGGAATTTTCCGACGATTCAGTTCTCAGATTTTTCCAGTCTACCATAGGTGCACTGAAGTCCCCTAGGATTAGACATTGACCATTTGGGGACCAAGTAATGAGACTGCTTAACAGGATCTCATTTGCTTCACAGCTTGGACTGCGATAGACCAAACCAATCAGCAGCTCTTGTCCCTTGCATTTAAGGCTGCATCTAACTGATTCACACGTCCCACTCTCATGGGATAGTGGCAAATGGGATAGCATTCCTAATGAACAGAGCTACTCCCCCTCCTTTGCGCTTTTGTGTTCTGTCGGCCCTTACTAACGTAAAACCCTCGAAATCAAGTTCCATACTATCTATAGCCTGTGTCAGCCAGGTTTCTGTTACTGCGATTATGTCTGGCTTCGTAGAGTCGATCTGTACATTTAGTTCCGATTGCTTATTAAGTAAGCTTCGTGCATTGGTTTAACAGATCCGAAGCCTGTTTAAGTGCCTTCGTGCTTCACCCAGAGTGGCTTTGGCATCATTCTCTGTCGAAGTCTTACAACCCGAAAATTTACAATTTTCAGGTCCTTTTCGCCAGCGTCTAACCTAAGTTGTAGTTCTTTCTCGGCTTCCCGTCTTTTAACACGGTGTGCCAACGGTAGGTCCTTTCGGATAAAGACTCCTGAACCCTTTAATTTGTGTCCATTCTGTAAAATTAGGTCACGTTCGTTCGAAGAGCTGAATACTACTTTAAGCAGACTGGAATGATTCGGTTTCCAGTCCGCTAGACTCACTAGTCTGTACACCTTTAGCAAGGTGACCCCGGTCATATTTTGAGGCATGAGTTGGTTAAGTAGCTGCCTAATCAGTACAATGTCATGCTCAAAACGAGCTTTAGGTTCAGAGTTCTCGCTCTCCTTGATTCTATGAAAAATAGCTGATCTGTCGCTATGATCAACTTTCGATTTTTCGACTACTTTTACAGGGGTAGGTTTCCCTTTTATATCCCTACTTTTCTTCCTTACAACCTGTACCCATTTGTCAACGGTGCTGGA